GGAAACAAAGCAACCTCCAAGAAGTTGGGTGGAAGCATGCAAGCAGCAGACCCCGTTTCCTTACCTTTGGTCAGTAGGGAATGGAAGAATGAGAGGAATATTTACTAACTCAAGGTAAGTTTCTCGGCAATCTGGGCCGATCTTTCCCAAAATCCTAAACCCAAAGTCCAAAACCCAAAATCCTAAACCAAAATCCTAAATCCTAAACCCTAAATCCCAAACCGCCATCTCCGGACCTACCTATAGTCTCCATTGTATTTCCTTTTTTTGGTTGACCAGTTTTATGGTTCGGACCCTATAATCGAGATGTTGTTTAACCAAACAAAGGAACTACAATGGAGACTATAGGTATGTTGTCAGCGGGTTAGAAACATATGCTTACCATACCAAGGCCTCGAAACCCTAGTCCAGTCTTGTTCGGCACCTATATTAGTTGAAACCATTAGACCGTTATATGCCGCTCCACTCCTCAGACAGCGGTGACGATTCCGTTTGGGCAGAGAGGGAGAGGGCCGCAATGGTGGCAAAAGAGGCTGCCGATGAGGGGTTCAGAGTGGGTTTGGGGGTCCAGGGTCTAGAGTTTATGGTGTTGGTGCTAGCTTGGAAAATCACAAGGTGGTTCTATCGTAATGCTGAATTCGCCCCATGGCCTGCATCAGCCCTAAATCCGCAACCTGTAGTCTTTGGATTTTCCTCGAGGATGCAAGTAGGACGTAAACAGATTCTGGATTGGTGGAGTTCACACATGTTCTTGTTGTTCTGCTGGCTATTCAAAAATATTCTCAGGGCCAGCATTCGTGATGGTCCCCAGTCACCACCACCCACCACAGGTAAGTCATTCTTGTCTTGTTGGCATTTTATCTTTCGTCGTGATCACCATGGTCACATCGCCAAGCAGAAGAACTGCATCAGACATTATCCTCGGCACAGTTCATGGTTGTAGGTATGTGCGTGTATGTGCGTCTACATGTATGCATGTAATATTCTGTGTACCACTGAGTATGGTTATGCACAGTATATTTATATATATAATAGCTATGTGTACATATATATATATATACACACATACATATATGCATCATACATCTACATGACTGTGTTTTCGTGGCTCGCTTGGAACATGTGTATGTGTGTATCTGTCCGGTGTTTATGGATTTATGTATATATATATATACACCTATGCATAAACGTGTGGGCATTTGCATAGACCCATGCCAAGCATAGTTTTGTTTGCGATCCTCACGAAACGGCAATGAGCATTCCTCAAAGAACCCTGTCGGACTCTTACAGAACTCTTATCTATGGGAACTGAATAGATTTCTGACTTGAAAGAAGCCTTAATAGAGCTCTCATACAAAAGGATCCGTAAAGAATTCCTATAGACGCCTTCGAGGAACCCCTGTGAGAGCCACAGCTCTGACAGGACCTTGCGCTGCACGTTTGGGGCTTGGAGAAGGCTCACAGGGAAGCTGACGGAACATTATACAGAAGTACTACAAGGGCCTGAATAATTACCTGGCAATGGGCCCCACAGCAATATTCTAATTGTTAAGGCCCCGTTATTACTTTAAGAGGACTATACGCATCTATGCGATACAATACCCCAACTGAGCATAATACAGGAGTACTCTTCGGGTTTCTTCATCTAATCACACGATAGCATAGCCTCCAAAATGTCAATCTAATTGTGACGACCCCTGTATTAGGTTGTGTAAGGCTTGCAAGGGTTTAAGGCTTCAGGGTTGAGGGCCTGATCCCTAAACCCCCATACCCTGTAACCCGTAAAGGAACCCTTGAATAATCGCCGAACTTGAGATTCGTCGGGTCCAGTTGCAGATTTTGGCTTTTCGGGTTGCCCAGGCACAAAACCTAGACCCCTTGAAAACAAATCCTCAACGACAATTCTATGGACCATGCTTTCCCTGAAAGCCCGGCGTCATCGAAGGCCTAAGCGCCTCAACATCTGTTTAGCAACAACTCTTATAAATCCCTTTCACCATCTTTCAACACCCCCATAAACCTAAAGCCTAAACCCTAAACCGCCCGAAGGTTTAGCCAACTCTAAACCTTAAACCCCAAACCCTATTAAGCCCGAAGCCTAAACCGCCCGAAGGTTTACCTAGCCCTAAACCCTATAAACCCTTATTTATCCCTATAAACCCTGAAGCCTAAACCGCCCGACCGCCCGAAGGTTTACCGCCGCTGGCTATGCACACGCCAGGCCCCGAAGCGTGCCGTCCGAGGCGGTGGGGTCTCCTTGTAAAGCCCAAAGGGTCCTAACGGTTGATGATATAAATCCTGCATTACCTTAAAGACCCTAAACTACGGGAATTATGGTATAGTCCTTATTATGGGTCATGCAGGATTTATATCATCAGCCGAAGTACCTATCTAGTAGAATGCAGGGTTTGTATAGTAGGGATTACCATCATGATTTGGGAAAGTATCCCCCATAAGACTACCTAGGACCCTTTGGGGATGTTTTGGAGGGTTTCGGGCTTCAGGGGTTCAGGGTTATGGAGGGTTTCACAGCGACAATTACAGGTTAAATAAGGCTCTCGAGGGTTCTATAGTGGGTTAAATGCTCACAGTAGGCATACTCTCCATCCATATGTATATGTGTATACTCGGTGCACATACATTTGCACGCCGGCGTGCGCCGATACATGCAAAGAGGGTGAGGAAGAGATTTTTCAGGGAGATAGAGAGCGATAGAGAGATGGACACTCAGATGGAGATAGAGGCAGAGATAGGCAGTAGATAGAGAAAGAGATAGAGATGAAGAGACAGAAAGAGAGATAGAGAGAGAGAGAGAGAGAGAGAGAGAGAGAGAGCGAGAGAGAGAGAGAGAGAGCGAGCGAGCGAGCGAGAGAAAGAGAGACAGAGAGATAGACACAGAGATAGATATAGATGTAGACGTGGTAAAGGTACAGGCGGAGGTGGAGGCAGAGCTAGAGGTAGAGAAATAGATAAAGAGATGGACAGAAAGTAAGAGTTACTGCTCCTGAGCCCGCACACGTCGCAAGCCCACGATTGAGAGAGACAGAGAGACAAAGAGAGAGAGAGAGAGAGAGAGAGAGAGAGAGAGAGGGAAGTCCCCAGCCCTGGCGAAAGATAAAAGGGGTTTAGGGTTTAGGGTCCTTAAACACTATTTGAACCCTACGTAAACCCTAAACCCTAACAGAGAGGCATCTAGCGAGTCCGATTGCCCATATATAAAGGTCTCATTGATCTTCCGGACCCGGTAAGACCCTGTAAAACCCCTTAAGCACGAACCTTAAAGGGCCTCGTACCTTATAGCATATACTTTGGCTGTTTCGGGGTTCCTACGCCGCTTCGTTCGGGGCGACGTCTATACTTATACTATGCAGGCATTGGGACTCTTATGAACATGTATCGTATATAGATATGCATGTATGTCTTTTTTCTACATATATACATATGTATACATACAGACCATGAGGAGTCTTTATAGAACCAGTTAAAGTAGGATCGTATACATGATGTAGGCGTCGTTGTTCTCGCTGAGGCTCAGACTCTCACAGTTGAGGAGAGTGTTCAGTGCTTTGGGGGTTAGGGATGCGGGTTTGGGTTTCATTAGGGGGTACCTGGCAAAAGAGTTAGAGGGACATGCCTTCGTTTTGTTCACTTCCGCTCTAGTGCCTCGCATTTCCATGTCGGCGCCCTCGAGCTCGACTTCGGAGAACATCACAAAGTGCCAAAGCCAGGAACCCGGTTCGGGTTTCCACGGCTTTTGTAAAGGGAGAGGGCTGAAGGTCTGGATATGAGGGTTTAGGGTTAGGTTACGGAAGTCATACCAAGAAATCCTTGCAAAGTAGACTTTCTAAACACCCATGCTTTTACGGGAGTCTTACATCTTTGGGTCTAGGAAGCAAAGCTAACGGATCAAGGGTCTTTCGTCTCAGCACTGAAAGCCAAAATCTAAACAGCAAACCTTTGAAAGGCGAACTATTTCAACTGAGAACCTCGCTCGGCCCCAAGGCACCTGATTCGAATCATTACGGCCCCGATCTTAAAGACTAAACCTAACATATAGGTTTAGTGAAGATAGACTTTAGACCCTAAGTCCCGCACCAAAACCCGAAACCTTCAACCCTAAACTCCGCCCCGGCCACGATGGGTTGATGTACCTATGTAGTAGATTCAGCAGTACGGAAGCACAAGCTATGTAGGCACACGGACCCCAAGGCCTTCTCTGTCAAGAGCGTGGGCTTTCGCGTTTTCGGGGTTCTTCAGACTTGCGTGCTCATCGGGTTTGAGAGTTGAGGGCTTTGAAAGGACGTAGAGTCGAGGGTTTCGAGTTTCCGGTATTTAGAGTTGAGGCCTCATGTCGTTGCTGCATTGTTGTTCATGACAGGTGCCCAAACAATGCTAAGAACCTGTATTGTAATATTACATAATCAGGGCTTAACAAATGCAACACAGTTGCATAATGTACTACTACAAGAGGGCTTGTTGTGTGTAAGTGGCTCAGCAGGGTGGGGTCTCTGTAAGCTTCCAAACGAATGCAAGCGACACAGGTCGCGCTGTTCGCCGCAAGTCGAAGCGCCATACGTGCTCTGGGCGGCAACGAGGGGTGGGCTGGTGAAGCAAAGTTCCAGGTAGCTAGGCAGGTATGTAGGTAGGTTCAACTTAAAGCCCGGAACATGCAGACTCCTGCACCAACCCGCATCTAAGCTGTGCGAGCATAGCGGGGCGACGGGCTCAGACCTGTTTGCATAAGGTCTTGTTTCAGGCTCGGGCTGCTCGTTTGATGGACTCAAAAGGAGTTGCAGGATTGATTTCTGATCTGCGGATGGCATCAGAATGGTACATCGGGCTGTAGGTAATTCGAGCTCATTGCAAGCTCTAACTGGGATTGCACCGAGATACATTCGAACGAAGCACATTGAAACAAGCCACAGCCACTGTGGCTCAGTAAGCTGCTTGTGCCAGTTCAGCCTTGGCTTCGAAACAAGGAAGCGCCACTTGCCTTTGCCATGCCAGCGTCACCTGAGAACGTGGATGCTAGCGAGGATGCCGCTGTGTCTGCCCCTTTTGCCGATTTGGCCACTGGTGCTGAAGAAGGTGAAGGTAGCGAGGATGAGGAGAATCATGAGGATGAAAAGGTCCCACACATGCTCTATGATCTCACGGAGGAGCAGCCGAACAGCCTCGCCACCGCTGCTGCCGAAGGCCGTCGCCGGTGGCCAGCCTTCGCAGCCTACTATCAGGAGCAGGGGACTTAGTAAGTAGGGTTATAAGCACCTTAATTGGGGCTATAAGTGAGTATATAGTTACCTGACTTGTGGCCCTAGTTACTAAGTCCCATGAGCCTTCAAGTACTATGAGGAGCAGGGGATTGCAAACCCAGCTGCATTGGAGGCCGCTCTCGCTGCAATGGCGCGTCCAGGAGCGCCGTTTCAATGCAGATTCGCAGAGTCTCCGACACTTCGTCATAGTAAGGTAACATTTTACATTCTTATGGATGCTTGAACCCAATAAGGAATAAACATGTAAATTTTTATTCCTATCCCAACCATGAACTAGGACAGCAGCAGCATCTCTGGCGCGGTTGAAAGCTGTACTACCGAATTTGGCACCAGTGCCCTGGGCGCCGAACGCTTTCCGGGTGGTGCCTGGCCAGCCCGGCCCTTGCCTTTCGAAGGCCTCGTGCAAGGAAATCGGCCTTTGCGTGCTCAGGCTGATGAAACTTTGTCATGGTTCCGTAACAGTTTACAGGTTTATGCGTACTTAAGCCCAGGATGGAAGGAATAGAAGTTCTCATTTTTTCTATGCTTTCCCGGAATCCCAACCATGGACCAGGAAAGAGGGCGACCTTTGCCTACAGGATGTCAGTAGTATGTTGCCAGTCCTCGCGATGAAGCCTCTTGCACCAGATATGGCCTGCTTGGATATGTGTGCTGCGCCTGGCTCGAAGGCCATGCAGTTGCTTGATGCCCTTACTTCGGCTCCTTCAACTCCGGGAAGGGACCCGGACCGAGGTGGATTTCTAGTCGCAAATGAGCGAGGCGAGAAACGTGCACGGAGATTGCTGTCGCGAGCGCGCTGGTCCCCCGCATTGGCACGTGGAATCCTCGTCTGTTGCACAGATGCAGCGAATTTCCCTGCCTTGCGCATTGCAGGACCGCGGGGTGCCTTCCCCAAGCTGCGGTATGACCGTGTGATCTGCGATGTGCCTTGCTCTGGCGATGGCCAGCTGCGAAAGACACAGGATAGCTTCGAAGTGAGTCGGGGCTCGGCTCTACACCCACTGCAGCTTCGGATCCTCCGGCGTGGCCTGCAGCTCCTGGCGCCAGGAGGTCAGCTTGTTTACAGCACCTGCTCGCTGAATCCAATCGAAGACGAAGCTGTTGTGGCTGCAGCCTTGGTCGAAGCCGCAGACTGCGAGATTATGCCACTACCAGCGCGACTCCTTGAGGAGGATGTTGGATTGCACCCGGGCATTTCATTCTGGAAGGTACCTGGATCGCCCACACCCCAAGCAGAAGGGTATGCCGGGCATGCTGGAGTTGAGGTGCCTACCATGCGGCCGCCACCTGCTAGCTCGCCTGTGTCCAAGCAGTTGAAGCATTGTCGCCGTGCTTTGCCAACATACGAAGGTGGATCTGGCTTCTTTCTTTGTGTCATCGAGCGCCGGCAGAAACCCATGCGGCCCATGCACAAGCATGGAGTGGGAGTGGGCGGAGCAGGAGAGGAGGGAGAGGAGGACAGTGCCGACGAGGAGAAAGAGGATGCAGCTCGGTTGGCATGGTTCGGCGACAAAAAGCCCAGGAAAATCTTTAAGCCGATGTTTCCCGTAGCTCCCTCCGACATGACAGAGGGTGTGTGCAAATTGTTCGGCATCTCAGCCGTAGATCTGCTGCAGCATGGCGTTGCTGACCAGCTCTGCATTCCGGGTTTCCGCAGGGATCGCAGGATGCTTCTTTCTGTAGCTCGCCGCCTCGGAGACATTCAGCGACATAGGCAGGCGAACGTGTTGGATGGCGGCTCGCCAGTGGCCACATGCATGCCCAAGGAGTCTTGGTGGCCACGAAGGCTCTCCGCCTGGCGACCATGCCATGAGGAGGCCCCGCTCCTCGCGCGACTCGCCACTCGACGTGTCTTCCCCTGCACTTCCACCTTACTGGCAAATCGGACTGCGCCCAGCGATGAGGAGGAGGGTGGTGCCATCGTCGCATCTGAAGACGGAAGAGTCGCTCTCGCTGCAGTCGTGGAGACTGGGCTGATCAAGCTGTTGGCAACCGGGGACATGCTGCAGAATTGCATTGCGAGGCTCGAGGATGCAGCAGCTGCGCCAGCTGGGCCTGCAAAAACCTAACATGGGAGTTTCCGAAAATAGGGGTACCATAGTTTGGGTCCTTATAATAAGAATCCTACTATTTAGGGTGCTATATTAGGGCCCCAAGGTTCCAAAGGACCCAATAATCAGGTACTCGGGTTTAGGATAGTAGTTATGTAGGTTAGGATTCTGGAGAGTATATGATTATTGGGTACTTGGACCCTTGGGGCAACCTAACATTAATGTGGGAGTTTTCCGAATATAGGGGACCCTAATATAGTATCCTAAATAGTAGGATCCTTGTTATAATAAGGACCCCAAAATAAGGTACCCCTAATGTTCGGAAACTCCCATGTCGGGATTGCACCCTTGGATCGCGGCAAGGAGCACCAAGGAGCACTCGTCTTTTGGAGCTCTAGCTTTGAATAGTTCAACGGTTGTTTCGATTCAAGTGATACGGTTGATGATTTCACTCCTGCATTACCCATAATAAGGAATATACAATTATTCCCACAGTTATAGAGTCCTTAAGGGAATGCAGGATTTATATCATCAACAGTACAATTGCTAGGTCTCGGAGAAGATTTGTAGGCACAACGCGAGGCCTCTGAATTGGGTTAGTTACCACAATTCCTCATAATATAGGGGCCTAAATAATTACCAAGACTATTTTGGGGGTTCCTTGTTGTCTTTGAAGTATAGGCCCCAAAACCCTAGTCTAACTATCAAGGACCCTATATTAAATCGAAAAATTGCCCTTATAGTAATTACTCCTTATAGACCCCTTTAAAAGGAACCCTATTGTAATTCTTAAGACCCATGTAGTCCACCCCCTATCCGTGTGGCCACCTCCAAACTTTGCAGCGACGGACCCAGGGTCACGCAGCTGGCAGATTCCAAGCCGAAATCATCCAAAGTGAAAAACAAAGCCTGCACCTACCAGGACCCCCCAAGTACCCTTTAATAAAGCCCTTATGGTCCTTCATAGTGGGTATTTAGGGTAAACCCTAAACCCAACGGGAAGTCATCCAAAGTCACAAGCAAATCTTGCAGCTTCTCGTGAAGATGGGTTCCCTCCACCCCGGGTCCTGAAACCCTAAGCCTCGAAGTCCAAAACTTTAAATCCCAGTCCCGAATGCCCAGAACCCGATCATGCGTTTTGACTTCTTCCCTGAACACCTGTGCTAGCCACCCTCAAGCCCCAAAATCCCTGAATCTCTAAACCCCGAAACCCAAAACTGATCAATCCCCAAAACCCCTCAAACCTTTGAGCCCCGATTCTTCAGCCCCAATTAAGCCTCGAACTTTCGACCTCCACTGCCGAACCGAAGGCTCTCCGAGCTCAACGAAGAAGGAAGGCGCACAGACTTGGGGGTTTCGGATCCAAAGCAGCGCCTGAAATCGTCGCCTAGGTTTAGGGTTTAGGGTTTAGGGTTTAGGGTTTAGGGTTTAGGGTTTATGGTTGATGGGTTTATAGCTCGAGGATGCTTGAGGTGTTTGTGGGATTATGGGTTCCGTTTTTGTTGCTTAGGTTGGCTCTGGTCTGGGGTCCTTGGTAGGGTTTGCCCAGGCCATCTTGGATGTAAAAGGCCTCCAGATAGACACAATGATAAGTAAACACAACATCCTAAGCCCCGTTCTCCAAAGCCTACATTCAACTGCACAGTGTCATAAATCAAGGCAAGTATCGTTAGAAGTGCGCTGGCCCCCAACTCAGGTAGACTTTACCTACTAAGCCCGCTGATCCTCCAATCCTAAACCCTAAACCCTAAACTTAAACCCTGATGTACCATCGTTCCAGGACTCCTCCTGTCACCCTTGTCGAACCCTTGTAGAACCTTCAAAGATCCGAAGCTGTAAGCGCGCACACCGAAAGCGCAGGCAGTTCCTCCAGCACTGCATCGGTCCGGAGCAATCGGAGGAGGGCGAAAGCGATGCCAGGTGCCCGGAGGGGCTCCTGAGCTGGGAGTGGCTGTTGATCTCCAGACGTCCGTGGTTTAGAAGGGGTGGGGGAAGATGGGTAAGGCTTTGGGTTGAGGCCGACGCTTTTGTGGGTCGAAAGTGATGATGTTGTTCACGTCGGCACTGCTGTTCTGACCTTTGGTCGCATAGCCACCGTGCTTATTGTAGTCCTGGCGTAAGATCTTGGAGGATAAGAAGCAGCTGCCGGCTTGTGGGTTCGCGACGAAGTGTTTTGCTTGGCTGCGTTTCACGTCAGGGAGCGCCGACATTCGCAGGCCATGTTGAACCCAACACATGGACCACCCCCTGAACTTTCCCCTAGCTCCTACACCGAAAACCCGCGCCCTTTAATGTGGGGGGGGGGGGACGCCTGAATATCAATGATGTTATTCCTGCGTCACATTACTTTTGCATATACCCAAACCTTTTTTTCAGAAAGTGCCTCATATCACATAGTTCACCCGTGACAAATCCGATGCACAGCTTGACCTACACCAGTGTGTTTAGCAACCCGGGCCCTGTAAGCCAACCTGAGCACCAAACTAAAAGCCCGCAAACCCGACAGGGAGAAGCCACTCAAAAGAACTAACTACCCATAGGCCCCAAAGCAGTTCCTTTTTGGTACTCCCTTATAGGATTCTATATATGAACCCCAAAAAAGAACTACTTTGGGGCCTCCGGGTAAGCCTGAGAACGGAGTTGACATGTGCAGGAAGAGTGTAGGGGTGGAGAGTTGAGTTTCAAGGGCGTCGCCCGGCATTTAGGGGTTCACATGGGTGGTTGTCAAAAATATGGGTCTCTTTTTGGGGTACCCTAAATAATAGGTGCCGTATCATAATAGGGACCCATAATTTTGACAGCCACCCATATCTTGTTTTGTTTCTGTAGGGTTGGTACGTACAGTGCAGGGCTTGCTGTGTGGAATTATGAGGTTTATAGCTTAACGTGTTGGGCTTGGGTTTGAGCAGCTTAGCATCTGCAAGGTTTAGGTTTTTATGAACGCCACAGCATTCGAAGTTGTACCCGAGAAAGACATCTACTGCGGCTATTTTCATGCTGAGCCGTGAGTTCAAACAGCTTAGTAGCTTAGCCCACACACAACATTGGCCAAGTAGACGGCGAGTCCAGATTCCATGAGGGTTGGCTGGCGGGATATTGCAAACTGCAGAGTTTGGTGTGGACTCCAGGCTAGCAAACCCAATCTTGAAAGTCTCGTGAGTTCATCTCCGTGCCGAGGACTCCTTTGAGACTGCCGTAGGCGAGGCTATCTTTGAGGTTCAGAGTTTAATGCGGTTTCGGGGCTTTGGGTTTGCAGGGTAGGGTTTGTTGGAATCTGCAAAGAGGAAAAGAGGGACCAACGAACATCTGCTGATCTTTGAAGAGTCGAGATCTGACCCTAAACCCTAAACCCTAAGCCCGAAAGAGGATTCCATGTTAGTGTTAAGTGGTTTACGTGGGACTCCCGTGTTTTTCTTTGAAGGTGTGTAGATGGCTTGACGTCCTCGGGTTGAGAGAGTGCTTGCACACCGGATCAACTAGACTTTCCTTGTTCCATGCCTGACGATTGCAGTCGTGTTTGCAATCAGTCAAACGTATGATTAGTATCTAAGGTATTGCAATAATGTACTATGTACCTCTAATAGAATATGCATATATACATATATGTAACACATACATATACAGCATATACATTACATACAATTTTTCATTTTTTGATAGCTATTTGTATAAATGGCGACGGTCTGAGGGCTTAAGATTTCGAGGTTTCGAGTTGGGAGGTCGAGGCCCTGATCTTGGGTCTCAGGGCAGGCCCAAGTGCTTAGGAGCCCCCTTGAACCCTAAATTCAAAACCCCTAAACCCTACAGTGGAAGTCAGAAAGTTGGAACATCATTATGCCCATGGCCTTAAGGTAAAGTATAAGGGATCCTAGCACGAATCCTCCTAAATCCATGTTCCAACTTTCTGGCTTCTTCTATAAACCCCTGAGCCAGATCCTCTCCTAAGAAGCTCCCAAACATTACCCTACGTGACTCGGGGATCCTAAACAGAAGTATCTAGGGATCCTAAACAGAAGTATCTAGGGATCCTAAACAGAAGTATTTGGGGATCCTAAGCAGAAGTATCTAGGGATCCTAAACAGAAGTATCTAGGTACTGGGTCCTTGAGTGCACCCTTACCTATAGTCTCCATTGTAGTTCCTTTTTTGGTTTATACAAAAATTTTATATTAACGATCCTAAAAGGTAACCCCAAAAAGGAACTACAATGGAGACTATAGGTAGGCTTGGCAATGGTTGGGTGTGCAAAGCTCAGAGGAAAGGTTGCAAGTCCACGCGAGAGTAGCGTGTTCTGCAGGAGCAGCTCATGACTACCCTAAGGCCCCAAAGTAGTCCCTTTTTGGGGTTCATATATAGAATCCTATAAGGGTATCCCAAAAAGGAACTACTTTGGGGCCTCATGACTAAGTTCTGTCTTCAGACCATGGCTTAGGGTTTGAGTCTTGGTCCAGGCCTCTGAGCGTTCTAAGTTTTCGAAGTTCTACCTGTGCCTGACTTGCAGAACCTGGCAGCCACCAAGAAAAAGACAGAGGGTCCATATACACTACTATTATGGAATTAGGCCCTAAAAGACCATGCCCATTATGGTTTTGGGGACCTAATTCCAGAATAGTAGTGTGTATGGACCCTCTGGGAGACGACAGTCCCGAGGAGGCGCTCAGAAGCTAGAGCAGCCGATGGGAGCAGTGCTGGAGCGAGCAAGGATTTCCGAAGGCTTTCTCTCCGAAGCCATGGTTCGGAATTCTGTTGAGACGAAGCAAGAGTCGATGCACAAGTCGATCAAAAAAACTGGCCAAGGCCGGGCGCAGCTTCCAGCCCGTGGGCCACCGTTAGTCCTGCATCGACGAACTTGGCCGAGTTGGTCCGTGAGCCGTGCAAGACCCAATGGGCGCCAGCGGCAGCGATGAGTTGCAGGTCTGGAGGCCGTAAGGAGAACGGAAAGCGATCCTATCAGCTGCTGGCTAACCGCGAACACACGTTAGGCGAAGTCCTTCCCGCCCTCGTGGAAGAGGTCTATCGCCTCAGCGCCAAAAGTGGAGCCAGCACTGGAGGCAGCACCGGTCACGAGCCTTTACCGGGGCCCTGGCGATGAAATCATCGCCAGGGCCCGGTGCCTTCTGCTGCATTGCACTTCGCAAGCGCATGAGCGCATGGGCATGGATCCGCTGTCGGTCGACAAGGGCGGCTCACAGCTTGATTTTAGGGTTTATGGTTGTAAACAAATCTGACAGCTGTTCGTCTCATTTCACAAAGATCTAGCTAAACCTTAACTTCACCCTGTGTAACCTACCTTTTCAGGGTTCCTTATTATGGTTTCCGTAAATAAGTCCTAGAAAAAAGTAGGCTGTTCGGGGTTAAGGTAAACCCGAGCTGCAGCACGTCTTGGCTCCTGTCCCCATCTCCCTGCTCCGAAGAGCAGACTGGCTCAAAGCCCGTACATCGCATCATCTTGGTGACCCCAAAGCAGGGGAAACTCTTGGGGTTTACAGGGGTTTTGGGGTTTCGGAGTTTGGGTTTTAGGGTCTAATGCCGCCGCAATCCGGCCGAACGACCTCGTGAAAGGAAAAAGCGGGAGCAATAATGATAACCATAGTAGCAGAAATTGAAATTGTGTATCAATAGCGGTAATAAAAATAATAGTAGCAATAAGAATCAACATAAAAATGAGTCCAAAATTAGTTCCTTTTTGGGACTACCTTATAGGAGTCCATATATGAACCCCAAAAAGGAACTACTTTGGGGGCCTATGGGTAATAATGAGTCGGTAATAAAAATAATAGTAGCAATAAGAATCAACATTATTAGAATCACAATAAGAATAGCAGTAATAACAACAATAATAGCAATAATAATAATAATAATTACAATAATAATCATCATGAGCTCCATAGTCGCGGAGGAAGCCCGTCAGAGCTCCAGAGCTCCGAGAATGATTGGCAGAAGAGGCCAGAGATTCACGAACTCTATAACCCCAAGGGTCCAAAGGACCCAATAATTACATACTCGGTTTTAGGATAGTAGTTATGTAGGTTAGGATTTTGGAGAGTATATGATTATTGGGTACTTGGACCCTTGGGGTAAGGTTCCATGTCTTTTTGAGACCAATAAAGAAAACATAGGAATCCCTTGGGTACGGCCCCCACTCAGTAGCAGTTGGAGAATATTCAGAATATACTCTAAGGTTCCATGTCTTTTTGAGACCAACCTATAGTCTCCACTGTAGTTCCTTTTTTGGTTTAACCAATTTCATATTAACGATCCTATTAAGGTTCCATGTCACATAGGAATCCCCTTAGAAGGGACCCCCATCCTGTAATAGTGGTATAATTGGAATATACTAGGGCCCTAATATAATCCTTATAATTAGTCACTATTACAGGGTGGGGGCAGCTTCTAATGCATGTCTTTTTGAGACCAGTAAAGAAAACATAGGAATCCCTTTAGTCTGGAATTTTGAATCCCCAAGCTAGGGCTGGTTTCCGCGAAAAGCACGGGATCCGGAATTCGAGGAACTCCCAGGCTAGGGCGGTAATTGTTGTCTCGAATCGGGTTTGGGGTTTAGGGTTGAGGGGAACTCCCAGTCGCGGGGTGCGTATTCAGCGGTCATTCGCACAACTCTGCTAGCCTGGGAGTTCTGGATTCGAGACAGCAATGTACTCTTCTCAGCCTGCGCATGCAGCCCGATGCGTGCGTTCACTGGCCTCAGCCTGCGAATAGAGCACCGCGTTCCAATTCTCCATGCCGGCCGTTCCAATTCTCTATGCGACCCTAGCCTGGGAGTTCCATGTCCTAGATGGCTAAACCTTGAAATTCCCACATCCGGACTACCTCTGACGCCGCGCTCCAAGTCTCCATGCCGGCCGTCCAAATTCTTTGTGCGACCCTAGCCTGGTAGTTCCAAAGGCGTGATGGCCATCCTACCTGACCCCTACTTCAACATAGTTTAAAGATGATTCTTATTGTCCGTTGTTCTTTCTGCTCGACACTGGAAATTTTCCGGCCGGTCTTTCATATTTAGGGGAGATTTATTAAACGGATGACAGGATCGTACATATAAGTATCTATATACATGTACATACATGCACACATACATACGTACATACATACATATGTATCTAAGATACATACTATATCGGTGGATGAGATCTTTGGGGTTAAGTCTCTGGCAGAAGTCGATGTGCTGGCTATGATACAGAAACAGGCAACTCAAGCTCGACAGGAAAGGCTTATCTCGTTCATGAGCTTGGCATTTTTCTGCGGTAACAACGTGTGGTTGATTCGTACCTGCGTTAGGCACCTATAGCCCTAAACTCACAACAATAATTCAACCTCAGACACCAAGCCTAAAAACAGCCCTATGGCCTAAGCCCGCCAGAGACCACCTAAGCCCTAAGCATGAGATTCCAAAACTCACAAATACTCTGCAGTCCCAGCAAATGTCCAGTCTAGCACATCTCAACCGCTATTCCGGGTATACTAAGATCGATTGTTGGCCTATCAAGGAGTTGCCTCGGTTTGCCGATCTCCACACTGATCGTTTTATCGCCATATTTCTGAAACAGGAAAACAGACCATAGTCAGCTTGGGTTTGCTGGCTTTGTAGCCCTGGAGAAGTTTCAGGAAGGGTTCTACAGGACCTCCTTGCAAGACCAAGCGAGTTTGTTGGGTTCTTGGATAACGACAACACCCAAGCTCCAAGCCTGAACCCAAATCCCAAAGCTCCAAATCTCAGTCCTTAACTTAACTCTATATCATTGCAGCTGCTGCAGGATTCGCATTTTGATGAGCCGCGGCGACTCTGACGACGAGGACGGCTGAGGTGTCCACCCCAAACCCTAGATTTCACTCATCCGGTGCAGCATGAGCCATATACGATAACAGTAACCATAGCAGAGCAGCAGTAATTATAGAAACAGCAGTGGTAGAATAAGTCGGTCCTGCGCCCAGGACCTCGACAGCCCCAACTCTAAAATGCCCCCCAAGGCCAAGCCCTGTAAGATTCCGTCCAAGCTTAAGCCTTACCCAGACCAGCTTCCTTTTGTTCGAGTCTCAATCCCTAAGGCCCCGTATACTCATATGGGAGTTTCCGAAAAATGGGGGGTACATTAGTTGGGATCTGTATAATAAGGATCCGACTATTTAGGGTTGCAACCCCGAAGGGTCCATGTTCTCATATACCCAGAAGTAGAGCAGGCAACCTTTCACCTTTTTTGGGTAGGATATATAGTCCCTATATAAACGCTATATGACCAAAAAGGTTAACCTTTGGTTCCCCATGATACCCGACAAGTAGGTATGGCATGTAAATACATTGGCCTAAATCTAGTCACTTTGGAGCCCAAGTATATGCTTTGTGACTTTATGAGTACATGGGCCATTGGGGAAAAATGCGCTAATGGGTCTACGGCCTCAACTGAAGGTACCTTCAGGGTACCTTGGAGGGTCAAGCTATCAGCCTCACACACCGAAGCTTCTGGTTTTTAGGGTTTAGCCACACCTTAATGCCCAACACCTTGAAACCCCAACGTCGAACGTAAACGCTGAACCTAATAAGCATACCTAAACCCTACACCCTAAACGAAACTCTAAGCCCCTTAAGCCTCTCTCTTGAACCCGTCAATATTGTTGATATGTGTGTCATCTAATACATATCAGCAATTTCTTGCTCAAGATGGGGTACGGCGGTCAAAGGGGTAGTGATCCCAGCAGCTATGATCGCAATGCGGTCACAACCCGTGAAAGTTCGTGACCAAAGTCCGCCGTTCACAGAAGAGCGAGGCTAGTGCGTTTAGTGCTGCTTCACGCAGCGAGGAAGCACCAGCAAAAGAACATGAGAGGCAAAGGAATGTCCAAGAATGTCAGAGATCTGAAGCAGGATAAGCAGCGGCGTATCAACACGTTGAATGTTACATCGAAGGCAGAGCAGGATCTGTTGCTTACGATGTCGTTTGATGTTGGACATCGACTGCTGTTGGGTTCGAACGGCTTCTGCATCTCGCTGCTTTCGAGCTGTCATCTTTGACAGGCCGAGAGCAGAGCTTGTTCCAGCGAACATCCTGTTGTTGGTTTTGAATGACATCTCGGCCCTCAATGTCATCGGCAGTTGCTATCTGGCCAACAACAACATTATCACTTACCAGGTCAACATGCCCGACGGTGCGATCTCAGAAACTGCTCTCACAGCGGTTCAGCGTGTCTTGCAAAATGCTTACATCACCAACATTGGAGCAATGCTTGCACAGTTTCCTGGTAGTATGGAGGCAGATGACTGCAGGATGGTGACGAGGCACAGCATTTTGCCTCGCATCGCACCAGCTCGTGTCGGCGCACGCCTATACTTGTATCGTTCTTGGACTTTACGCTGCCAATGCGACCTGGGATGATACTGTGGCTCAACCACATTGGGGGCGCAGCCGCCCGTGATTTTCCTGAGACATATTATGCTGGCCTTGAGGCCATAAGATCCCAGGGAATGTCACGTGGAAGCTAATCGGCTTATGACCAGGTGACACAACTGGTGACACCAGGCAATTGGCTGGCAGCAGCCCTCACCATCTGGGGTTTCCATGGAGGTATCTGTGGATGGCCGGCAGTGGCGACGACACTGTATGGGGCCATGATGTCGGATGAAGCAAATCATCCGATCAATATGCTTGAGCATTGTGCCAGCGATGGTACCTTCAGGCTTGACGACTACGGTGGAAAGCGCTGAGTATGTTTCGGCTTTGTACATTGACGACTTCCTCGTGGGTCCTACAAGTACGAGCACGACTACGACTTCGGTGACGGGGACGTGGGCCGATCTGGATGAGGGTGATACCACGACGAGTATGACCACAACCGCAATGGCGACGGCGCTGCGAACACTTACAGTGGGTGAAGGGTCAGGGCTGAGACTACGGTGACAGCGACAAAGGAGACGGTGCGCGGGATAAACAAGCTGGCTGCAAAGTGGGGGCATCTTCCTTGAGGTCTATGAGGGTGGCTCTCGTTCTTTTTTTCTCGCTTTCCCGACGGGATTCCTCCTTCTGCGAGTGGAAAGGGCGTTTAAATTAGAAAAAAACAAAAACTCTAAACCTCACCCTATACCCTAAAGCTAAACCCCATGTTTGAAGCCCCACGCTTGACGTGTTGCGAAGGAAAGGGCTCAAAGCGATGCGAGTGATGAAGGAGGCGAGGGGTTTTCTTTGCTGGAAGAAATCTTGTTATACAAGTGCATAATTTTTCAAGTGTCCGGGATTCCCGGCTTGAGGGTTTAAGTTTCAATGTTGAGTCCGGGGGCTTGGGGCACATAGTTGGTGTTGATTTAGTTGTATTTGGGTCATCAGAAGGCTCAGGCGGAAAGCCAAGGCAATGAGTGCAAGCTGAAATCCGCAACGGTGATGTCCCTTGGATGGGACTTGTTGGATACTTCTGTGTTGTGTCCTTCTGATGCTCTGTTCCATTGTGATCGATCGCCAAGTCCTGTCCCACAGCCCTAAGCCTCATAAGCTGTAGGAGAGAAAATATAGATAGACATGGTTATTCTTAAGAACCGGTAGTAAACGGACCCTAACCCTACCAAACCCTCAAGAATCCTTATAGCACATCACAGTACCCTCACCTCAAAGGAAGCGCCAAAGGAACCCTAAATCCCCAACAATGTGTAAACCCTACAAACCCTCAACCCTCGTAGCCCTCAAAGGAAGCCTTGTGAGGCACTGTAGGGTTTCACCATAAGGTCATCTGAAACGGTACTATGATGGGGTTCAAAACTTGGGCCCCCTCAAGGGATCTATAATTGGCTGCCTTTAAGGGATCCAAAAGGGTTCCTTCAAGGTAGAACCCCTTCAAGGAAGCCTTGTGAGGTGCCAGCCTCGAGACGGTCTTTGGCTTCGAGGCCGCCACTTTGGCCCGACTGGCCCGAGGCGCGGCTACCTCAAGGGTTCAGAATCGAGGTTTTTTTTTTCAGGGTTTCTAAACGGTTCAGAATCGAGGTTTTTTCCAGGGTTTCTCAAGGGTTCAGAATCTTGGTTTTTTCAGGGTTTAGGAGTTAAGGGTCCTAAATGGTTACCAATGCTACTTTTTGTCGGGGCTCGTTGTCACATTTGTAGTATCACATACCACAAAAACTTATTCAAGTCCCTATATAACTTTAAGGGTGCCATGCTGCTTCGGGATTCCAGAGTGTAAAGTTTCGGGGCTGCGGGTTGCCAGGCTTTTAGGATGTGATTGGTTTATAGTTTCGAAATTCACGGTTGCGAACTCTAGGGCTTTAGGCTTGCCAGATTTGTATAGTTCACGTGCAACACAAAGTGCAGGGTTGAGGGCTTGCTGTTTACTGTGTAGCAGCTAATTAGTTTAGGTATGGGATTTCTATCTTACTGGCTTCGAGTTCAGGGGTCGTGTTGGTTCAGCATTTGGGTTGCGAGTCAGCGGTTTTAGATAGGGGCTTATAGGGCCTTAGGCTTTTGGGGTTTAGTGAACTCAAAGTTGTTCCAGGCAATAGCAAGGCCTTGAACTTCGTCTTCATGGATGATGACGACGATGATGAAGAGGACCCGAGCATTCAAGTGTTGAGTTGGGCTTTCCTCACCAGATGGAACCATTGAGAGGTCTCTGTTATCACCGTCTACTCGCATAAGTTTGTAATCAGCGGATGCAGGCACGCCATCTGCTTCACGCAATCGATCATCGATGTTGGCTTTGGGTTCTCTAGGTTTCGGGATGTCCCTATTTTCGCGCCTACAAATCCCCAAACACTAACTCCAGAACCCTATAACTCCCAACTCTAGACTCTAGAACACCAGACCTGTAAGCCTAAACCCTATAATCCCATAACATCCCACAACCCTCAAGCCTGGCCCAAAAGCAGTGAGAGCTTTCATGAACAGGGGCCTCCAAGAAAGAACGCTAGTTCTTGCACGAAAATATACGACAACTATGCCAGCTAAGAGGGACTGTGGGACACGGCCACTGTTTCGTACTTGGGAGCAGTTGTAAGTTTGCTCGTTATCATGATGATTTTGGAGGCTATTATGTGTATATTGCTGATCTGATTGTTGCTAGCCTCCTGATATTCAGTCCACTGCCTTACCCGGTGAGAAGATAGGGTCCCCCTGCAAACATGGCAAGAAGTGTGTTCCCCATGAGCTGCATCACCCATGAATTACAGTTTCGCCTTTCGGTTTAGGGTTTAGAGTGTCAGGGCTCAGGGTGTAGAACCTTCCAAACCTGGGGTGCACAGCTGTTGGCGTAAGCTTGTGTGGGTGTAAGCCTAACCATCCCCAACTCCAACCCAAAGGCATTAGTGAGGAGCCATAGAGCCTAAATTTCCTTGAAGGGCTCCCTGACGGGATCTATAAGGGTTCTAAATGGGTATGGGTTAGAGGTTGACGGTTTAGGGTTTCAGAAGAAGGGCTTATAGCGATGGGACCTGTCAAGTTGAGGCTTATTGGTTGGGGATAGGGCCTCACTTGAAGTGAACCCTTTGCACCCTGCTTCTTTAGGCTTCCTCAATTACCTTAGGATCTCCAGGTTTCATTGTCTAGCCGCTGAAAAAGGCGGCATTTAGAGGTTGTCAGGTAAACCATGGTAAACCCCAGAAACCCAGGACGGCTGCGCAGATGGGCTTGAAGAGATCTTCAGTTTCGACTTGGCAAAGGTGGCAGAGGCCGGGGTAGGAGTTACAAACACAAAGGGCGTTCTTCAAGGCTTGTTTCAGGGCTCTTTTAAGGGTTTCTATATGAAGTGTATGGTTATGGGTTCATGGTTTTGTGGGTTAGGGTTGAGGGCGTTAGGGGGGTTAGGGTTTGCATGGGATGTAGGGCCGCTTAGGGTATTCGACTTAGCTTTTGGGCTTTAGGCTTCAAGGGTTTAGGGCTTTAGGAGGGGAGCAAGGGGCCTAAGCCACCCGGGCATTAAACAAAATACATAGAGCTCTTGGGCATAGGGTCCAGAGTCTCGGGTTGACGTACAGTAGAAGCCAGAAAGTTGGAATATCATTATCGTAACCCCTTGAAGGTAAATTATAGGGTATCCTACCCTGAAACCATGTTCCAACTTTCTGGAGTTCCCTGTAGAGTCCCCAACTTGGTGCCGAGATTTTTACCTTACCAAATGTCCTCATCTCCCTGAAAGAAGGACTCGAAGGATCCCAGAATTGAGGGTTGGCCCTGAACCTACTTGGAGGATCATGGGACTTAGAAAGTAGGGTTATAGGGGTCCCTTTAAGGGATCTATAGGGGTACTATAAGGGTTTAGGGTTTAGGGTCTACTTGAAGGATCATGGGACTTAGTAAGTAGGGTTATAAGAACCTTAATTGGGGTTATAAGTAATTATAAGGACAGTTACACTAAGTATAACCCTAGTTACTAAGTCCCATGATCCTTTAAGTAACCAATGCTCGAAGCAGTACTCAAAAGCTCTCCCCTGTCCTAAACCCGCAAGCCTCCAAGCCGGCGAGCCGAAGGCCCTTCGAAGGGGTGCCAGCGAGTGCAGAACTTGGTGAAGTGTTCCTAGACCCTCCATCTACTCTCTATTAGACCCTAAATGCCCCTTATCTGGGACCATATACCCCTATTTGAGGGTACAAGGAGGGTCCTGGTTGTTTGGTATTCGGGGCGTGTATTTACTCTCAGGGTCCATTGTCCTTGTACCCCTGAGAGTTGGGAACCAGGGACTGTAACAGTCCATATGAGAAGGGTCGCCTTCGTTTCCGAAGTTGGCAGGTGAGAGGGTCCCCCTGGTCCATCAACTGTACGTCATGTTAGCAGAGCTCTACAGCAAAGACCGCCCTTGATTCTGAAAATCTGCGTGCTTCACTAAAGCTTCCGTTCGATACGGATCACTTCGTTCATTGAGGAGCCTCGTCTAAAATGGGGGTCCGCATACCACATTGCGTATTCTGGTTAGTTCGGTCCCTATATTTTGCTGTTTTGTAGGGGTCGCAGTGAGCAGCCTTTATACGGGGTCAGGGTGCCCCTAATTTTCTGAAACTCCTACGTTGCAGTCCAGATTTGAGCAGGACCAAGCATTTTTTTTTTGGAGACGGCAAGTTGCTACGGGGCTTACAGTTAGAGGTTACAGGGATACGCAGAGTTTGAATCATAGACCACCAAAAAGCGGATTAGGGAAGTAGCCGCCTTAGGGATTCTTAGTTTCAGCAGGTGCGGCTTTGATATTCATATGGGTTGAGGGTTTCAGGCTTACACAGTTTTGACATTACAGTGGTTAAAGTGTTTCATATTCTGGGCTTCTTCGGTTTACGGTGTACGGCCCATGGGAAGATCCTATGTGACTCTGCTTGCCGCAAAACAGGACCCTGCAGACCTTACCACAGAACCTGGATCTTACAACGTCGAGCCCACCGAAAGTTTGCAGTAACACACGACCATCGAGACCGGACGCCCTTCAAAAGAGGGATCCACCACACCTACACAGGAAGGAACCTGTCTCATCTCACTGCTAGGGGCCTCAAGCGGAATGTAAACACAAAACTTTGCAGGACTCTAAGCCCAGGCTCGAAAAAAGGATCGTTGGACGTAGGTACGAAGAAGGCAACTATCTCTTATATTCTCTCATAACCCCACTGATCGTATTTATAATGCTGTTAAATCCCCGGATCCTCCTAATATTGGATCTCTGCCAAGGCATGAGCTAACCTCTGTCATTGAAGAGGCCGGCATGTTTCCACTCTTGGCACCGGTTTGTTTCCATCTGACGCGGCTGGCCTCCCTGATTCGAACTTTGGGTGAAGGATCCCACAAGGTCCATGTACCCCTACACTAGGTATCGATTTGGCATAGTTTTTGAGTTCCCTTGTTGCTTAATATGGAGCCCTAATTACAAATATGTTTGGGGGACGGTTGATAGTTAAATCGGCATTTTGGTCTTAACGTGGCTCCTATATAAGGATTCTATAGGGCCGAAGTATCTATCATATGGCTGTATGGGTACATGAACCCTTAGGGCATTGGGGATGTGAACTGTCTGCTACAGTACCGACGAAAAAGCCCTAAACTGCCGCACGCAGCCTGACAAGCCTAAGCTATATCTTAGGCTACCCTAGACCACCCCCAAGCTACCCCTTAGAATACCGACTAGAAGCTGCCGCCCCGTTTCCGCATGCTTTTAGACTGAGGCATTCGGGTCTATGGTTGAGGGCTCAGGGTGAGGTTTCGGAGTTTAGGTTTTAGTCAGGCGGTTTAGGATTTAGAGTGCTGCAAGTTTTGGTTTTGTGAGTTTCAAAGACTTTGGATAATCCAAGGTGAGGGGTTTCGGGTTGAGGAGCTGTGGGGTTCGCTGTAAGTCCTAGTGCCTAAACCTAAACCTTAGGGTCCTAGTACTCAATATATTATAGGACTTTTGGGTCCTTGCAGGTACCAAAAAAATTAATGAGGATTACTTGAACCCTTAGAGTAAACCTATGTAAACATAGAAGCTGCCCCCACCCTGTAATAGTTACTATAAGGATTTTATTTATTAGGGCCCTATTATATTCCTATTATTCCACTATTACAGGGTGGGGGCCCCTTCTAACCTAAACTGCAATGTAGTCAGCACCCAACGGTCAAGTTTTGTGTCAGGCGCTGGTCAGCGAGCTGCCGGAGCGATTAGCAGCCGCCAAGGAGGTGCCGGGAAGATTTCGGCGCCATTGTAGGGGCCTGAAAAAACAGAATATGGACCCCTGCATAGTTGGTAAATTAGGGCTTTGGGCTGGGGTTAGGGTTTACGGAATATGGCCCCTATAGTTGGGGTTTTGGGGTTTATGCCTTGGGCTTAAGCTAGCTTAGGTTTCGCGACGCTTGGGGTTTTATCCTGAGCGCTACAATTACCCTCTGTTATATACCCTGATTACACACTATGAAGGACCATAAGTGCTAAACTTTAGACTATTCAGGACCATCAGGGCTCTATTAAAGGGTACTTGGGCGCTGGCAAGCTGAACGACAACGATCTCGACTTTAAGGAGCAGTCTTACGGGGCATTAAATTTTGTTTGTCTCGCGCTTTAGGGGTTTCAGACCCGTCGGCATGTTCTACGAGGGTCAAGATAGGTGGGTCTCCAGTAGTTCCGCAGGGTGCGCCCATGTCAGCTTGCTCTACGGCTACGCCTCGCACGGGCTGCATGCTCAGCGGATCAGGCTTAGGGCTTTTGTGAGGGTTGCAAGGGTTTGCTTGATGTAGGGTCTCGGTGCTTTAAAAACTCTATGCCTCCAAGCCTAAATACCAAAAGTCCAAACCCTCAAAACCTTGGAGTCTTACTTACAAGCAGGGATCCCTTAACGGCCTCAAAGCCTTAAACAAGCCATGAATCCTTAGAGGAATCCTTAAAGGAAGACGACTTTAAAGAAGCCCTAAAGGAAAACCTTTGCATTACTCTAGCAGTCGGAATCTGGAATAGTATCCCTTCATAAAACCCATATATGGACAACTTGCAAGATTCCGTAAGACCCTATTCTCACCAATAAGACCGCTCCTGGTTTACCTGAGCTCTAGTCTGCAAAAGTGAGAAACGGTTCGCATAAAGGTCAATGCAGGGATCATACTCTCGCGGCCTGCTTTGGGGTCCCCTAGCTACTGGAAGGCTCTTGGGTGCCTTTCTTCTGTGTTGTCTGTCTTCGTTTTTTTGATCTCTATACCATACGATTGTTGTGCTTGCCTTCTAAGGGTCTTCTCAAGGTTTTGCAGGCTCATGTTGGAGCAAAAGAGCCCCGAAACCTCCGAGAAAAGACTTAAAGGTAGCTTAAACGAGATCCCGACATGTGCAACTCTCCGATCACCTGAGCAAGACTTACAGCAGGACCCGAATCCTTCAGTCTCTAGAGAACTACATACAACAGTACCCCCCCCGACCGTTTTTGCCTGTAAGCCTTGTCGCAAAGAAGTTGACCATGTGACCTCTTGGAAGTTTCTTGGCTCCTTGTTTTCGTCAAGACCGGATCTCTTTTCTCTGCGGCTGTTGTCAGATGTTGTCAACGAACACGCTCCGAGCCCCTCAACGACTATTACCTAAATCCTAACCGTCCTAACCCTTACCTGAACCATAAAATCGCAGATTGTTTTGCGCACTCCTAAGCAAAAAAAACACTTCTTCAAACCCCCCAAGCCCTCTATTTCTACCCAAGGTGACATCTCCGGTCTCATGACCCCACCGAGCCTGCGTAGTACAGATCTCGAAGGCTCGTTCTTTACAGACATGCGTGCAATATCTTACAGACTGGTGTTTCCAGGTTTGAAAGTCACTGCAAAAAGGGCTTAGGGATGGTCATTGCTGGTCCCAAGATAACGCGAAGACGATTGAATCCAACATCTTGGCCCGACTGCATACCGCCCGGGAGCGCTGATTAGGGATTCGAGCACCACAAGACTACGGGGTAGTGTTTACGGTTTATAGAGCTTCGGGCTTAATTAGAACATAGGGTTTAGAGTTTAGAGTTTGGGTTTAGGGTCAAGGCTAGGGATTAGTTGTTTGAACCTGCTATTGGGATTTCTGGAATTGGGAAGCTCGGGGTGTAGCCGCAAGGGCGTAAGGCTTGGCGCTGGCCGTTTTTTAGGCTTAACGTTCACGAAGTGGGTTCCAGGGAGGGTTTTTGCAGAGCTTTGGGACAGTCTTTAGAATTTAGGGTTTTAGGTTTGGGATTGGTGGGTTCGGGGCTTCAATCAAAGGAGACAAGGAGGGACCCTTAATGGGGACCCCTACCCTATAATGGGCTATATAATGAGTATTAAATAGCTATATTAAGGGCATATACCTAGGGGTCCTTATTAAGGGTCCCTCGTTTTCCCCTTGGATTCAAGACTTGAGCTTTTAAAGTTCAGGGATGGAGGACTTCGGGGCTGGGATGTTTTCTTTCGGAGAATAATTTACTGTAGATTACCTATACTATTTTGGGCGTTCCTTATTACAACTATAGTATAATGGGCCCCCCAAACCCTATTCAAATCATTAAGGCCCCTATATTAAGGGTTTATAAGGCTTCAATTTCCCAGGCTGTGGGGACTTATAAGCCTTTCTCGTATGTTTCGGCTTACGGGTTCCATGCTTGGAGGGCTACAGAGTCATGCCATCATTCCGACAACCCTTAACCCCAAACCCCAAAGCCCAAGTCCTCAAAACCCAAATCCCCTGCATCACAGAGCCCTGACATTTCAACCCCGCGAACAGTTGAAAATCCCAAAACCGCTAACATCCTAAGCAGCTAAACCCAACAATCCAATGCCCCTAGCTACCAGCAACAAAGCCGTCAACGCTAAAACCCAAACCGCTGGCGCCATCGACAAACACTCGTCAGGTGAAGCGAGTACCCTTAAACCTGACCTTGAACGCTAAACCCTAGACCCCATATAGACCGTAACCCCCCCCCAAAAAAAAAACAAACATATATATATATATATGAACTCTGAAGCCAAAACCCCAAACCTGAAAGGTTTGCGCACACCTCCGCCTGCGGAAGGCGCACCGAAGGTTTTCGGGATTCTGAAACCCTAAGGGTCCATTCGCCCAAATAGGGCTCTTTGTAATGGATCCATAAGGTAATAAGGGCTCTACAAGGCTGAGGGTAGAAGGGTCCATGTACCCAAGTAGTGTGTAATTTGGGCTCAAAATATTCATGTAGGGACTACTTTAAGGCCAATGTCTCTGCTGTCTAGGCACATGGACCCTTAGGGTAAGAGGTTCTGCAGGGTTTGTACGGGGTTTAGGGCTTCCATTTCGAGCTTTTTGGAACAGGGACATTGCAACTACACAAAGGGTTCAAGTGCCTACTGTAGCAACCTTATGGTGCCTACACAAATCACCTGCATGCTGGGACTAGGGTTTCTAAGGTTTAGGGGTCTGGGGGTTTAGGGTTTAGGGATTAGCTTGAAGCCAGGATCTAATCATTGCGTACTTCGAACTTTCAGGGTTTGGGTCTTGGCTTTGGCATTTAGGATTCCAGGTTTTGGGCTGTGGGTGTATTGCCTGCTGGCAACAATTCGGCCCTACCCAGCACCCTAAACCCTAAACCCCAAAGCCTAAGCCTCAGAGCTTAGACCTGCAACCCCGAGCATCCTCAACACACACGATCTCACTAACTGTGTAAACGTGTGCTAAGGAGAGTGAAAGTATCGCACCCCGGCCGGAAGATCTTCAGCCACTTCGGGCCTGAAGCACTGATACCTTGAAGACCCAAAAGCGAGACATGAAGCGAAGAAAGCTCGCAAGAAACTTAGGCGATTTTCCACGGGATTAGAGTTTAAGGTTATGTATTCAAGAAACTTAAGCAAGACAGGCGGTTTTCCAATGACAAAAGGTTAAGCTGCGCGGCTCTGGCCTTTCTATTGCTCCAGGCCGGGTATCGCCGGGCATTGGGTGCCCATCTGGTGCACCCCTCGGTTGCATCGTGCTTGTTGTGCTAGAAGAGTTTGAGGGGCTTCTTGAGTTTAGCTGGAGCCTTCAAACATGACACTTAGACTTAAACCCAAAGCCTAGAACTTAACGTCCTAACGGATACATGCAGCTTAAAGAGGACAGGGATGGCAGGTGGCATTCAACATAAGCTATCCTGAACGAAGCCCCCTAAACCCTGTCGAGACTGTAGCGTTGCGGGTTCAGAATTTAGCGTTTATGGCCTGCGGTCTAACGCCACATGAGCCCCGAAGTCTCAATCAACCCTTGCACACCTCAATCCTTTGGGTGTTTTAGGGTTGTCGGGGGTTTGCCTTTAGGCGCCCTAAACCCTAAACCCTTTAGGGTTAATGGTGGGTTAAGCCCCTAAAAGCCCCAGGTGGCGTCTCTGCAGCAGATCTCACTCGCCGCTTGGAAAGTCAACGTGCTGAGCTCGGCACTGTTGGGGGCTCTAGGGCTCTGGGGTAAGGGTGTACGATTTGATGATTTTGGGGTTCAGGGTATCATGGGTTCAGGACTGGTGTTGTTTTGCTACTGCTTTGTTCAAAGCGTTGAGTTCGCAGGTCAGCTGCATTGGACAGACATGAAGCTTCAACTGCCAGAACGTCCTTTGCTGTATGTTCTTATAAGGGCCTGATTGCCGCATCGCACTCGAGGTCAGCCGCGGTCGAGGACTTGCACTCCCAGGGGAAGAGTTGAGAATGCTGGACTTGCCTAACCCTATGGGTCGATGCAGCCAAATATAATATAGGTACTTCAGGGCCAAAGTGTGTACTAGTTGTGTAGATGGACCGTTCGGGTCAGGTACGTCTCTGCTGTGCCAGAGTGTCGAATGCCGGGGATTTCTTTGAAGCAGTGCCCGCGCAGGTGTCTTTTTTGGATGTTAGCTGGTAGCTGTTAGCTGCCATGCTTTGCGTTCGAAACCTGGCGGGCCAAGAGCTCGTCAGAGCTTCCGAAGAGGATGTTGCTGCCTTTGCCGATGCACATGGCAGCGTCGTCAGGGGTCTTGAGCAGCTCTTGTCCCCTCTTCTTGGCCAGCCATGCTGTCGACTGAAGTTAGTTTGCGGAGACACTGTGCTGGACCGAGACAGCCCCTTGAAGCTCCCACTCGACTTGCAAGTCACAGTTTGTAACTATGTTCCAGTTGATGTGTCTGATGTCGACAATCTTTCCTTCTTCAGTGGATGCCACCACACAGCTGCCACAGCTGAGCTTGAGACCTTGCTGTGGCGTCCTCAGGACCCAAATTTGACTAGATTCCTATGGGCACACAGCGGTGACAGCGGCCGCCGCCAGTGGTGCGCTGCAGAGCCTGAAGCTACTCATATCCGCGAGCGCGGATCTCAACAAGCCCTGCGAGGAGTTCAGCGTCACAGCGGGCAATGATTGGACACCTTTGTGCATCGCTAGCCAGAAGGGTTACCTTGATGTGGCGCGCTTGCTTATTGAGGCGGGCGCCGACATTGACAAGCCAACAAACTCTGGTAGAACACCTGTCTGGCTGGCATGTAAGGAGGGTCACTTTGATGTGGTGTGCCTGCTGATCGACGAGGGTGCCGACATGGACAAAGCAGAGGGGATTGGTTTTGCGACACCTGTCTTCGCTGCCAGTTTCCAAGGTCACCTGGATGTGGCGTGGGTGCTGGTTGAAGAGGGTGCGAACATCGAACAGGCGCGGGATGACGGTTGCACACCTTTGTGCATCGCTTGCCTGAAGGGTCACCTTGATGTGGTGCGCCTCCTCATTGAACATGGTGCCGACATGGAAAAGCCAGAAAGCCATGGTATGACACCTGTCTGGGTCGCAAGCCAGGAAGGTCGCCTTGATGTGCTGCGCTTGCTGATTGAGGTGGGTGCTGACATGGAAAACGCAAGAAGTGATGGTACAACACCTCTCTATATGGCATGTCAGAATGGTCACCTTGATGTGGTGCGCCTGCTGATTGAGAATGGAGCCGACAAGGACCATGTTGATGACGACACTGGTGCGACATGTGTGTTCATCGCAGCTCACAATGGCCACATTGATGTGGTGCGGTTGCTGATCGAGAAGGGTGCAGACAAGCAGAGAGCAACCCATACTGTTGCCATCGCAAGCGCGGAGGGGCACCTTGAGACGGCCCGCCTGCTGGATGGAACTTATTGAGATGGGTTCTGCGCCGCCAGGCATCACACAAGGCACACCGTAGTGAACTTGCGCCTGCACAGAGAGCACGGGAGCCGTTACCTTTGGCTTAAGCTCTGCCCCTTTGAACTCTGCACAAGCGAGAAGCCACCAAAAGCTCGTGGGAAGTGTGATTTGTATGCATGGCTGCAGGCAAGTGCCCGACATTGAACGTGCTTACCCCGAATCTTTGCGGCCTACCTATATATAGATATATATATATATATATATACATACATACATACACACACACACACACATGTTTCCCCATGAGCGGGTTTAGAGCTGAGCAAGCTCACCGCATGCTTGATCTGTAAATTAGGACAGTCAGCGCATAGAATCACATCACATACGTGCGTGAATACCTGGTAGCACTGTGCCTTGGGGTTCCTTATCATAGCTACAGCAATAGACACCACACTTCCCAACACCCTATAGTCTTGAATTTAGGCCTGCATTGTCTGTAGGTTCTGTAACTCTCCAACCCCACCCGTCCAGGAGGCGATCCAGCATTGCCGATCATCCTCAGCTATTGCAGGCAGCCGTTAGGATGCCGGTCCTTCGTGATGAAGGTTAATATAGAAGCCTAAATGATTACCAATATTATTCCTTAGGATTCCTTTTATAACCGCACCATAAAGGGGCCCCAAACCCTAACCCTATATTAGGGATTATTAGGGTAGCTTCTGCAACTTTGTTAGCATCAACATACACGACTCTTCGTGTGGTGGGTAGTACCCGAGACAGGTGTAAGGTATACTCGGGGGATGTACGGCTAGTGTTTCAGGAGAGTTAGGGGTAGTCTCTACATTACTGCACCCTGAACCCAGCTTGCTATTCCTAAGTCCTAGGCCCTTGACCCTGCGACAGACCCAAAGCGCTGCCACCATCAATCCCGATACAACCCCATAAAATGCCCAAACAACGGAATTCCCAGCTCCGCACCCTAAGCCACAAACCCCTACACCCTCTGAAAACTCCTATAAATTGCCAAAGCTCCCCTGCAGAATCCACAGTCTTGTCAACTTTCGACCTGTCAAGCCCTATGGCTCTTTTGTTACCTTAACAGTAGGTTGCTAACCATAGGCCCCAGAGTAGTTCGAACTACTTTTGGGGCCTATGGGTAACCATATATCCATATATATATATATATATTGTATTTATCTATATACCCCCGTAACCTACTATTTAGGTAACTGGAGCCCTGGGGGAAAAGCTTGACACCAGGCCGTCGGACAGATCGCCAAGCGCCACCGGCGGAGCCTTGCGCAGGTCAGGGTCCTCCAACTGGCTTACTTGGAGGATCATGGGACTTAGAAAGTAGGGTTATAGGGGTCCCTTTAAGGGATCTATAGGGGTACTATAAGGGTTTAGGGTTTAGGGTCTACTTGGAGGATCATGGGACTTAGTAAGTAGGGTTATAAGTACCTGAATTGGGGTTATAAGTAATTATAAGTACGGTTACCTTAGTTATAATTGATCCTGTAAGTATGGGCTTATAGGCCTACCTGGGACCCTATGAAACCATTCTTATACAAGGCCCTAAAAAGGGTGGGTTCTTTGGGCTTATAGCCCTAGCGTTTAGGTTGGGGGCGTTTCTGGTTTAGGAATTAGGCTAGGGACCCGGAAACGAAAAAGGAGGCTTAGAAGAGTTGAAGTAAGGCTTGGAGTTTATGATGAGCGAGGCCTTCAGGGAATGACCTAGCAGTAGAGTAAGTCACCTTTAAATTGTTTTGGGTAGTATAGTCCCTATATATCCCCTACATAACCGTAAAGGTGAACCTTTAGTTCCCCATGATACCCGGCAAGTAGGATGATATCTATGGTTTGAGGGCTTAGGGGCGGTCCCGGGTCTGGTTATCTACGGCCTATGCTATACTGCCATAATGTAGGGGCCGACTACTTAGAATAGTGTTTTAGGGGCTCCTTGTTATTTTAATGGCACTTAGATGATGGGAAAGATCACCCAAAACCCTATTCCAATCACTACTTGGAAGGGCAGGGGACTTAGTAAGTAGGTTATAAGTAGAGTTATAACTACCCTAAATGGAGCTACCCCAATTACAACCCTACTTATAACCTACTTACTAAGTCCCCTGCCCTTCCAAGTAAGACCCCAGTGTGATCGGGCCTTCCTCCTACATTATTGGAGTGAAAGGCTCCGAATCGAGACAGCGCCTGGACCCCAAATAACCGACCTCTTTATGCAAGGACGTATACAAGGAAATCATCATAGGGAACCCTAAAAAGGAAGGCTTTATAGTGCCCAAGCATAAGTTGCATATGCAACTTGCTGGTGTTTCAGATTCTCGATAGGATCGGACAGCAAGGGACCCGAAGAGTCCTGCAGACCCTAAATGCCCGGATCCTAAGTGTCCAAAGGACCCAATAATTAGGTACATAGGTTTAGGATAGTAGATGTGTAAGTTACCGTTTGGGAGAGTATATGATAATTAGGTTCTTGGACCCTTAGGGCAGGATCCTAAGTATAACGATCGTGAAAAGATAGACCTTGGATAGTAGGACCCTCATCATAAGGACCCCTGACTCGGGGACCCCAATTGTTCATCGTACAGGCCAGAGTTTTCTTTGGGAGGCTTCGGTAATGTAGGAGCCTAAATAATTACCCATACCGTTTCGGGGGTTCCTTATTTTAGTTAGTTATAGTATATATATATATATATATATATTTATTATCCCCCAAAACCCTATTCTAATTACTAAGGCCCCTACATGAGGGTGGTTTTCTTTATTATATTATGCGGTTCAGGGCCTCGAGCTCTTGCCACTTGTTGCCACAGCCCCGACCCTTCTGTCTTTCGTACACCCACATGGGTTATAATCAGGATCCTACTATTTAGGGTACCATATTAGGGTCCCCTATTTTCGGAAACTCCCACATGCACACAACAGCATTCCAGCCCACAACGCTCAGAAAGGCTTAAAAAGAAGACCCCGGACAACTCTCCCATCAACAAATGCAGCAAAGCCTGCAGATCGTGGCCGCAGAAATTCGCAAGCAGGACTGCAAAGTCTGTACTTGGGTTCAGTGATTGTGCGTTGTTAGGTTCAGGGTTGAGGGTTTGGGTTTGTTTGCTTGTGGTGTTGTGCAGGGCTGATGGGTTGTCTTGAGGGTAACATGAGCTTGCAAAATTCGCACTTGTTTCCAGGGCAAGCTTCAAGAGTGACAAGCTTGCTTGAGAGATGTTGCGTCTATTTTCCAGGCCAATTATCGTGGCTTTAGGGTGCAAAAGCTCAAGCATCATGGAACCCCTAAGTTCAGAGTTTGGGGTTGCAGGTTTGCAGCACTGACATCCGCTCGTTTCATGTCGGTCAAGAGCAGAATTGACAATCAGACTGTGGGAAACGAAGATTCTCGGAGGATGCACCGCCACGCTCCTTCGCGAAGGCGGCGTCGTAAAGATGATGGTATTTTGGGCCTAAATTTTGCGGGCTAAGGTCGCGGCTCTGTAAGAGGCCGGGTCGGTTTGGCAGTTAGGATCTCTGGAAGTCGGGGGGCCTACCGGCATACGGCCTTGAGGCAGTGAGGGACCAATTCTCAAAATTTAAGGTGGTTTGATTGTCTTTGAGGCTTCCGAAAGAAATTCAGACTTACGATGACTGTTTTGAAGTTTGGGCCCTAGGCTAAAGATCACACCTTCAAGAAGACGAGGAGGGAACAATATTATAAAGGACTTGACCTACCACGGCAATCTGCTTGTAGGGGTGCTTTGGCCAGCCCCTCGAGCCGAGAGGAGAAAAACGAAAGAGTCAGGTTTGCTGCTCGTACATGTTCCAAACAAAGCGGAGCTGGGCTTGCGAACCCCAAACTTGCTGCAATCGAGTTTGGCGTTGTAGGCATGTGCCTTTGAGGTCAAGGGGCTCGGCTGCTGGGGTACCTTGATTGCGATGTAGCGATTGAAAACCGTTGTTTCTCATGGTATGGCCATGCTATGCCGGGAGCAGAAAGCTTGCACAGGTTCGACGGTCTGTGGCAAGCAGGCAGAGGCCTGTGCAAACTAGCTCCGCGTTCATGCTTAGTGGTCGGGGCTGCTAAGCTACGTGTTGAGGTTCGGGGTTGCAGGATGAAAATGCATTACTACATGTCACTACTCACTTCACGCCATTATTGAGTTGAATTTGCCATGGCTTGGACCAAGGCTAGCGTGTTGGAGGGGTGAGGACTACCAAGCACTGGCGTGTACATTTGCTTTCAATGAGTTCCAACACGTCCTTCACGTCTGGTAACTTGGAGGGTTACAAGGCTGAGTAAGTAAGGCTTTTCATCGTTGCCTTAGACGCGTCCTGTTTTTTGTTTTCATCTGGAGTTCCCATGAAAGGTCTATAAGACTTCTACAGGGCTTGACGCTTAGACCCGGCAAGTAAGCGTATAAACGCCCTGATGTGTATATAGCCGTGGTTAGCTTGTTTTTGATAGCCCTACTTGCTATGTCCGGTGCTCTCTTAAGTAGCACGAAGCTGGTCCGAGTGGCATGTCCGAGTAAATCGAACAGCTCTTCGGAGGGTCATATGGACTTGATCCACATCCCATACCGCAAAACCTAATCCCCCACTAAAGTGCGACGCTTGTGAAGACGGTCGGCTGTTTTAGTATTCCCCCTCATTGATGGAGTCTTTTTGCGAGGAATGCAAGTGCAGGGTGCTCCGGCTAACAGTTTTTTAAGTTTGTTAAGGGTATGAGAGTCGACGCAGGCCCGCTTCTGTCGCGACGTGAACCTGTAGTCTCGTCAGTACTTCAGATGTCGTAAAACCCCTCCCCCACGGATCTGGAAGGGACATGCTACCTGCAAAGACTTTGGGTCAACGCATATGCTATATAACCCCAACCCATTACAAAATTCTGAAGAAAACCCTATTACACCCTGTAAGGCCCTTTCGAAACCCTCTCAACACCCTTATGAAGCTCTTACGACGCCTTGTAGGGACCTGTAAAGCATTGGTCGTCGAACGTGCGCGCAGCAAGTTTTAGATTAGGGTTTAGGGTTTCTTCTGTCTTCAAACCTCACCCTATAATGCTCTAAGACCTCATACTTTAAGGCTTTTTTGGCGCTCGAAGACCACACTGTTGCGGGCTTTTGGGCTGTTTTTGAGCCTTACCCATAGGCCCCAAAGTAGTTTCTTTTTGGGACTACCTTATAGGATTCTATATATATATATATATATATCAACCCCACAAAGGAACTACTTTGGGGCCAATGGGTAGGGTAGTCCACTTGGTCCTGATGTATGGTGTTTGCCTATGTTAAGGCCTCGAGGATCCTGGGTCCAAAGACCACACCCCTTTTGACTCCAGTTACCTAAATGGTAGGTTACGATAACCATACATTATGATATGTACCTCAGGGTTTAGGATTAGTTGCCCGAATAGTAGGCTACTATAACATACTATAACCATACATCATGTACCCCAGGGTTTAGGGTTTCGGAGTTTAGGTAGCTGGAGCCCTAGGACACCACAGCTTTCCAGGCAGCATCGCAGTGGCCTAATCCACGCTGCGGAGGTCCTGGAGGTCTCCCCCAAGCGGTTGTTTCGTTCTTGTGCAAAGGTGTCTTGAGGGTTGTACTTGAGGGGCTTTATAAGAATTGTCTTACACTATTTTGGGCTTCCGTGTTATAATTTTTGTAATTATAGGATAATGGGCCCCAGAACCTTGTTCTATTTATTATGGCCCCTATAGCCTATAGTAAGAAGTTTTGGTATGGATGGGAAAAGGGTTGATAAATGCTCGATATTGCGTTTAGGGCTTGGGGGAGAGCAGAGAGGTGGCGGGTCTTTGCGATGTTTCCGCTTTGCTGCTTTTCAGTTTCACTCATACGGTTTAGCTTATCCTGCTTGTTTCAGCATTTGTCCGCCAAAGCCGCAAGTCCCTAAACCATTAAATCCCTTCCTATATAGCAAGGGCCTTCTTAAACAGAAATACACAGACCGCGACAAGATTAATATCGTTAACAAGATTAACATTCAAACCCTAAGCACGACAGACCCTCAACACAACAGCCAAACCCTAGGCATCCAATCTCGACAGTTTCACCCTAAACCCTAATACAGGGGCCTTCATGATTACCTATAGTATGTTGGGGGTTCCTTATTATGATTATAGTATAGTGGGCCCCAAAACCCTATTCTGAAAATTAAGGCCTCTATATTAGAGACCCCCATTATAGACCCCTTATAGTAACCCTTATAGACCCCTTTAAAGGGACCCTGCTTTCCTGACAATTAAGGCCTAAACCGTAAATCCGAAACCCTATACCTTAAATCCGATACCCTAAACCCTAAATCCTAAACCCTAAACCATATACCCTAAACCCTATACTAGCTCCAGATGCCGCTTGTCGCAAAGGCGGCCGGGGTCGGGGTCAGTGGCTCTGCCTCATCGGAGAAGGCTCATGCAGGGGCTTTTGGGGGGCAGGGGCGGGAAAGGAAGGGTACAGGGCTTAGGGTTGAGAGTTTGGGGTTTAGGGTTGAGAGTTTGGGATTTAGGGCTTAGGGCTGAGAGTTTGGGGTTTAGGGTTGAGAGTTTAGGGTTTAGGGTTGAGGGTTTAGAGTTTAGGGTTTAGGGTTGAGAGTTTAGGGTTTAGGGTTTAGGAGGAGGTAGGCAGAAGTGGTGTCCAACGGTTTTGCAAGGAGTTTGGCTCTACAGGGTTTCAGGGTTGATGCTTTGCTGTCCAAATCCTTGGGGATGTGAGTTTGATGGGTTTCGAGGGCTCCAAGGCTCTAGTGGCGGTTTAGGGTTTAGGGTTTAGGGTTGTGGCTCTTGTTTCGGTTCGTTTTTGTTGGGCTGATTGATAAACCCTAAACCCCGTGTCGTTTGCTGCCCGAACACCTTCAAGCTTTCAGCGTTTAGGGTTTTCAGTGACTGGGATTTCTGCTTTTTCACTCTTTCTCGAACAGCGCTACAATTTCTGGGCTTCGATGTGGTTTCTGATTACCTCAACATCATAACATAATATGAGAGTTTCCGAAATAGGGGACCCTAATGTATTACCCTACATAGTAGGATGCTTTTTGTTAGGAGCCCCAAAAGAAGGAACCCCTTGTTATCGGAAACTCCCATACCTGCACCCGACATGCAGGGTCTTGAGGCCCTGGGCTTTATCAATGGCTGAAACCTGGGTTGGGGTCCATGAAGCCACGGCGGATGCTTTCGATAAGAAACGGCATGGGTCGGATTAGACTCTACAAATATTTCTATTTCGGGCATTTCTATTATAGGAAGTTTGAGATTGGCTCAGGGTCTGAGTAAATTTCCAAAATATGGTCCCGACCTCCCCTTCGCTCCGATGCTTCCAGCCCTCCGGCCCTCTGCCCTCCCTCTTAGGGGGTTTAGGGGTTCAGGGTTTAGGGTTCTGGGTTTAGGGCTCAGGGGGTTTAGGGGGTTTAGGGGTTTGTGCTTGGGGGTTTAGGGTTCAGGATTGCCTTCCGAGTACTCTGCTGCTCCTGAGGGTTTAACTGGAGGGCTGGCGGAGAACGGAGGCTTAGAAATGTTGCGTCCGGTTCTGGCCTGATCCTGACTTTTGTTCGGAGCGATTTCGTGTTAACTGCGTTCACTGCACGTGTCACTTGTAGGCCTCAAGACCTACGTGTTTTGGCTTCTTGGCATTGATTTCCAGAAGTGCTTGCCTGCGGCTATGGCTTCATCCCCAAGATCCCAAGAAACCGAATCTTAATCCGCATCCCGGGCCCGAAACTCTATATAAACCTTGGAACTAACAGATTTCAGTCTCAGGTCTTTGGGGCTTAGGGGTAAATAACTCTCTTATGCCTTCTGAGAGCCCTACATCCGTAGCCTTGGAGTGCTCAGCACCCTAACTTAACCCCGAATCCGGTAATTCTTTCAGGCCCTAAGCCTCCAGAAATCAACGCTGAAGGCACGTCAAGAAGCACTTTCTTGCGGGTTTAGGCGGTTTGGGGTTTAGGATTTAAGGGGCTTTAAATCCTCATAAGGCCTGTGTGAAACCTGTCGTGATCCCGACCCGTGCAAGGTTGCGGAGCAGCTCGAGGCTGTTCGCAGGGTGCGCCGCAACGTTTCATGTTCTTGGTCTTTATCGGGGTGGCGGCATACTCGTGAAGGGTTCTTAGGTTTAGGGCACAAATCGGGTTCAGGATTTTGGATTCAGTGCTCCAAGGGCTTGCATGTTCACATCTGCGAGATTTTCGGTTCAGGGCTCATGGGCATGTTGGAACCGCTCGATGTTTGTACGATGTTCAGAATGGCGCCCTTTCCCGACCCTAAACCCTCAACCCTATACCTCCAACGGCAGGCCCTCGACCGAGCCAAGCGTCGTCACAGACAGCATTGCTCTCAGCTCCACTCCAGTGTCCCATCTTTTACTGCAAGATACACAGGTGTTTTTGATGGCAGCATTTCCAGGCAGATCTCTGTGCGGTTCATATGGTTTTACTTGTTTTGCATGGGGCTCCCTGAACCCTAAACTTTTAGCAGAGGATTTGCAGGGTGTTGAGCTTCAAAAACGACCGGAACCTTTATAGATACTAAGCCTCCAGCTGGCATGTGTTCCTTTTTTGTGGCCCTAGCTTCCGTGCAAAGCTCTACAATACCAGAGAAGGGTGCGCTGTTCCTAGGTTATGCGGCACATGTACAACACATCGGATGGACTGTGGCCTGAGGACATCTGTACAGGCACTTGAAGGCCTAAGCAAACACTGTACCCTGGGGTTGGAGGCTCGAGGCTCCATAGAGAGCTTCTAGTGCATGAACTCCCCAGTCATGGTAGGTATATGTGCCTTAATCATACACAAAACTGTATATTATATATTGTGTATGACATATTTCACATTGAATAGTATGTAGTACATAGTGCATAGTATATAGTCGGCATAGGGTTTTGGGCAGCTTATTTACTGTAGTATGACCAGAATCATGAATCCTCAGAAATAGTACAAGTAACAGTACAGGCTTCTGTAGTAGTGTATACCCTTGTGTAACTGTTCAGTACTTGCCACCAGTCCCAGCCGGACCTGTCTCCAAGCAAATGTAAGTCTATGTATACTTTTACGCAGTTTCACCAACTCGAGGAGTGTCAAGACTCTTGAACTCTAAAGCCGTGAGCCCCAAAAGCACTTGCCGCAAGGGCTACGACTCAACACCCTTACAAACCCTAAACCCTAAACCCTAAACCCTAACCCCCTAAGCCCGAAACCGTTTTAGATTACCCAAGGAGCCTGATCGTGGCGGTGCACCACGTCCACGGTTCCATCCACGAGGAGGCTGCAGAATTTCTTAGGGTTTGGGGGAGTCCCACTCCCTGAGGATCCATGTGGCCAACAGGGTGGTTGTCAAATTATGGACCCTTTTTGGGTCCCTAATTTTGACAACTACCCATATGTTCCTTTCGGTAAAAGAGGGTTTGCTGTTCAAGGGCCCATGTACCTGTGTAGGATACGCTTTGGCCTTAAAGGGCTTACTATTTAGGTATGCCAGGTATGCCAGGTCAAAGTGTTTTTTACAACTTGTTTGTAGCAGGTGCATTCACCCGTCGTATTACTAATGTTTGAGCGTGGCAAAGCCAAATACTCCAAGTCAGCTTCAACTCACCGTCCAAGTCCGAGAGTATTATTGGGGCGTTTACAGCTCGAACAGGGTTCAGGGGGAGTCTTCCACAGTACGAATTAAGGTTAATAAGGAACCTCAAGGAAGAGAGAGATCTAGAATGTCGCGTTACAGAGTAGCTCCGGCATTGAGTGGCGGCTTCATCATTTCAGTGTGTTTCCGCAGAAGTTCCACATACATGTAAAACCATATAGTAATGAAACCCGAAGCCCTAAACCCGGAACAACTGAACCCTAAATTCCTAAAGACCTCAAATCCTCAACCCGAAACGCATATTCTGCCAGACATTTTCGGATATAGGGGTTCAGTACTTTAGGGTTACAGGAGTTTGGGCTTCGGGTTTAGGGTCGACATGCAGCCGGCTTGGCACGACCATTCGCTGTGCACTGCGAGACCCTCTTCAGACCTGAAGCCAGTACTCAATTGTGGGACTTGGCTATAGATTCCCAAGTACCTGTATGTCGTTTGAAGTGATAGCTCGATTCGAGCGCGAACAGCCGTCCTCTTCAATGTTCCTGATCCTTCAAAGAACCCGGTACATCTATGGAACCCCTAACGAGCCCACGTAGAACTGTAGAACCCTTGTAGAGGCGTTGAATAAGCATTACAAGACCTGCATGGGAACCTTATAGGCCCCTTGACCCTGACAGAAACTTCTTAGGACCCTTGTCAGATCCTTAAGCCTTACAGCCTATCGAGGGCTGGGAAGTTGGGAAGTACCACTTCGATTCCTCTCACCCCTCAACCCTCAAACCTAAAGCCCCCAATGCTTAAAGGGTTGAGGGTGTCGGGTGTGCAGCCCAAGACTCTTGACTTCAAAGCCTAAAGCTCAGTCCATACACCCACACACCCGAACATCAGCTCAAGCTGACAGTCACATAGGCCATCCTCCCATAAACCGCATATCTGAACATGGAACCCCCTAAACTTTTTCAAGAGTTTCTGCAACCGAGGCAGCATGCGACTAGCCTTGATTAGGAAACTGGTGCACGGAAGCTTGCTTAGCGGCTCAGTCCCCTTGATCATCCAACTACTAGCACAGCTTCAGCGATCAAGGAATACCAGGATACCAGCGACGAGCCTAGATCTAGGATTTCCCAAACCATTACCCAATTATTGGGTCCTCGGTTCCCTAAAGACCCGGCTAAGGCCTAAAACTTAAACCCTTAAACGCTTAAACCCCTAAACCCTAAACCCTAAACCCCGAATCCCTAAACCCTTAAACTCTACGCCTCGAAGCAATCCAGTTTCTGTTGACGAGGACCAACAGCGACGACCGGATGCTCCTCGTGAGAGCCAAGGCGAAAAAGCTCGGAGGGACGGTTTAGGGTTTAGGGTTTAGGGTTTAGGGTTTGGGGTTTAGGGTTTAGGGTTTAGGGTTTGGGGTTTAGGGTTTAGGGTTTAGGGTTTAGGGTTTGGGGTTTAGGGTTTAGGGTTTAGGGTTTGGGGGTTGGGGGTTGCTTTAAGGCGTCGGGTAAGGGTTCCTTTTAGGGTTTATGGGGTTTAGTGGTTGCTTTAAGGCGTCGAGTAAGGGTTCCTTTTAGGGCTTATGGGGTTTAGTGGTTGCTTTAAGGCGTCGAGTAAGGGTTCCCTTTAGGTTTTATGGGGTTTAGGGTGGGTTCCTATCAGTTGTTTGAGGGTTGCTTTAAGGCGTCGGGTAAGGATTCCCTTTAGGGTTACTGGGGTTTAGGGCAGGTTCCTTCTTGAAGGATTCCTGCAAAGACTAAGGTTGGTGGTGTCGGGATTCATGTTGAGAGATGGCCGCGAATTGAGCCGACCTTCATTTTGAGCTCCCCCGTGTCCCGACACCCGAAAAGCTAAGACGTTATACCCATGCGGCCTAAATGCCGAAGCCCTGAATCCGAAGCCTGGCCGCACTTCTGTTGAAAGCGACATCCCAACAGGCTTGACGGTTTGGCCACAAACCCCGGAACCTACACCCCAAAGCCCCAAACCCAATCCTTTTGACAACGTGGAGGAACCCTTGAAGGAACCCCGTATAATGGGCCCCAAAACCCTATTCCAATTAATTATTAAAGGCGCCGAAATTAAATCCACATAATAGCCCTTTTAATAGTCCTTATCGACCCCTTTTAAAAAGAACCCTATTCTAATCATTAAGGCACCCGAAAATAACACACGAGGCTTAGCGGCCACGGCTGCTCCAACGGACCAGGGCTCTGAGATTGCCGAGGAGCACCCATCAGAGTCGGTGGCTCAGTTCCTCCGGACTCCTCTTAAAGGGTTGTAGGGTTTTCAGGGTTTAGGGTTTTAGAGTTTAGGGTTCTAGGGCTTTAGGGCTATAGGGTTTTAGGGCTTTAGGGTTTTCGGGTTTTAGGTTTTAGGGTTTCCTCCTCTTAGTAGCTGAGTCGGTAACCTTTAGCCTTTTTGGGCTCAAATAAGCAACCTCAAACCAAAAGACGAAACCCGGAACAAACCAGCCTAAACCCATAATCCGCAAGCCCAAGCCCGAAGCCCAAAACCAAGAATCCTAGGCCTACAACATGATATCCCCCATATAGTTAGAACCGCATATATCGCTGGACCCTATTCGAACTAGCCAGGCGACTCATGTTTCAAAGGTTGTGTCATATCCTAGAACGCCTATAGAAGCTAGTAACCCTTACTAAACCCTTCACTTTGCCCTTTACAGGGCACCTTGTTGACAAGATTCAGACCCCTGTACGAACTTCACTCCAAGGGAACAAGGGAGCTTCTTCCAAGAGAGGGTCAACGAGATCGTGGCGGCGGCCTATGCCGTGGATGCCTCAGTCGCGAACGACGGTAGTAGTAGTAGTAGTAGTAGTAGTAGTAGTAGTAGTAGTAGTAGTAGTAGTAGTAGTAGTAGTAGTAGTAGTAGTAGTAGTAGTAGTAGTAGTAGAAGTAGTAGTAGTAGTAGTAGTAGTAGTAGTAGTAGTAGTAGTAGTAGTAGAAGTAGAAGTAGAAGTAGAAGTAGAAGTAGAAGTAGAAGTAGAAGGAGAAGGAGAAGGAGAAGGAGAAGGAGAAGGAGAAGGAGAAGGAGAAGGAGAAGGAGAAGGAGAAGGAGAAGTAGAAGTCGAAGTGGAAGTGGAAGTGGAAGTGGAAGTGGAAGTGGAAGTGGAAGTAGAAGTAGCAGCAGCAGGAGTAGTAGTAGTCGTCGTAGTAGTTGTACCAGCAGCAGCAGCAGCAGCAGCATGTAGTGACAGTAGCAGGGCTCCAGAATTATTCGGTCTCAGGTTCAGTTTGGTCGGTGCCCCAGTCAGGTATAACCTCTTTTGATTGTCATGCCAGCCTCCGACACGCCCTTCGGTAAACATTCCTTAGCTTAACTCCGCCATACGGCGATCGTGCTAGATCGCAGTAAGCTACATCGCTTCAAACGCCTAGTCCCCTCAACTGCGAAAGCTTCAACCATAAATAGTCCCGAAGCCGCAAGTCAGAAGGCTTGTCATGTTTTGCTATTCGTCGCATGTTAGTTAATAGGTTGTTTATCAGCCAATTTTTTGTTTTTTGTCGCTCTCCCCCTCCTCAGATAGATGACATTCGCCCTCCAGTACGTGGACATGTCTTACGGCCAGGCTATCGTAGTCGGTATACTTGCCTAACAACCCATGTAAGCATATAGCAGATATATATCATATATAGAGTGACGGTGCGTCAAGCTACTGTGATTGCGCGGCCCTAAACCCTGAACCTGTAGGTAGAACGTTCCTGACAGCTTGGTCGAGTTGAGTTATTACTCTGGTATACTGGTCCTCCACCTTCCATTTGATCTGCCATAAAGGAACCTAGAAGAAGGGTTGCCTTTAATGGTTCTCTTCAAATTGACCCTGCACAGCCTTATGGTTAGCAGGAGGAGGCATTACCATTCCTCTTCGGTTTCCCTGACGTTACACAGCTATCGAAGCAGTCTCAAAGTCATCGCGAGCAGTATGCGGTGCTTCGAACACCTTGTCATGTTATGGCCGAAAGCTTGTTCTCGGATAGAGCTCCGCAAGAAGACTATACAGGGGTAGTCAAACAACAGTGACGATTTTTCATATGAACAACACGAAAGAAAGGCCTTTGGTTCGCTCAACTGCTTCGGACGACAGAAGAGTACACGCCCCTTGGCATAATATAGGCGCAAGATAATTAGAATAGTTAGGGTTTGGGAGTCTAGTATAATGTAACGATCGTGAGGAATCCCACCCCCAAAAAAATCGTATTCGTAATCATTTAGGCCCCTTGGCATAGTTCGAGTTTCGACTTCCGGGCTCGGGTTTCACGATTCAACTGGGCACATATTGCATTTTTGGCTTGAAGAGGTCGCTCCTAGCAGCCAGCTGCCCTAAATCCCCAAATTACGGGGTTTAGGGTGAAAGGGTCAGCATGGCAGCGGAGATTGTGATGGTCCGTTTGTTTGGTCTGTTGGGTGTGACCCAACCTAGTTGAAAAGAAACACTTGCCCAGTGACTGGCAAAAGATCCGTAGCTCAGCGCATCTGGGGAGTTTCGTATTCAGGGCTGGCTTCATGATCTACTAGAGGGGACTTAAATAGTTACCTATACCATTTTGTTGGTTCCTCATTATAAATATTGTATACTGGGCCCGAAAACCCCAAGTCTTAATATTAAGGGCCCTATATTAGGGTTCTATCATGGGGGTCTATTGGGTCCAAGGGCCGCCCTGAGTTCTCACAGCCCCAGCACCGCAGCAGACCCGAAACCCTGGCAGTTCCAAAATTCTAGGACTGAATTAAAGTTTAAGGTGGACGGCTTAGGGTCAAAATACATTCAGGTTTCAAGTTCAGTTATTTACAGGATTTCGTTTCAAGCCCTACATCATCCCAAGATCCAGAGCAAGCAAGAGGAGCCCCAAACCCTAAACCCTATAATCCTAAAGCCCTTAAAACAGCAGTGTGTCTTTAAACAAAACCCTAAGCAAAAAGAGCCCCAAACCCTAAACCCTATAATCCTAAAACCCTGAAAACAACAGTGTGAAACAAAACCCTAAGCAAGAAGAGCCCCAAACCCTAAACCCTATCCTAAACCCCTAAACACAACAGTGTGTCTTAACAAAGACCCTAAGCAAGAAGAGCCCCAAACCCTAAACCCTATAATCCTAAACCCCTAAAACCCTAAGCAAGAAGAGCCCTCACCTGACAGGCATCCCAGCAGCCACCACGCCGTGAGGGCAACTACTGCTCGGAGCAGAAAATCTTGAATCCACCGCCTGCCATACTGTTGATGACATAAATCCTGCATTGCCCATAAGAAGGAATATACCATTATTCCCATAGTTTAGGGTCCTTAAAGTAATGCAGGATTTATCTCATCAACAGTATCTCCTACAGTGACTGGGTGAAGGAACCATTCCGGGACTTATGGGGTTTACAAGGGTTGCGTAAAGTTTTTTTCGCGGTGGGTTTCTGTTTTGACCGTTAGACAGCGTGTGCCTGACACTCTCCGATAATGTTTGCGGTTACCCTGTTGGTTATGTTTGTCTTCGTTTTTGTTGACACTATGGTCCGAAAATTGTAGGGTCGATCTGTTTTAGAGGGTTGCGGTTTCATGGTTTAGGTTTCCCGATCTTAAGATCTAGGTTGTCGTTCAAGTCATCGGTTTAGAATATCCCAAGGTGGTGTTCCTCATAGAAATGGCTGTCACAACTCCGACTTCGGATGGCTGCAAGCCACTCTGGCAGCAATGCTGCACCACAGCTTCACCTGCAAGGCCTTTGCATGCTCGCAGATCTGTGCATCTCTCAATTCAATGTGCGCTTGAGGGGTCGATGGTGCTTCTTGTGTTTGCCTTCTGGCATATACATATATGTATAGATATATATATATATATATATATATATACGCTGTTTGCATACCATGCTGGCACCGGCTCCTCACCAAGCAGCCTCAACCGACGTCACAAATCCATGTGGCTTTGGAACATACATATAGTTACGTGTGTATATATGTATACAGATACACAGATAGGTATATACATATATGCATGTATAGAGAGAGAGAGAGAGAGAGAGAGAGAGAGAGAGAGAGAGAGAGTTGTATATGCATCTGTACATGGAATTCTACATGATGACGACCCCGTGCACATGACTGCTGCGTAGGTGGACACAAGTGCCATACAGCGAACCAGGAGTCTCTCTCCGGGGTGGTTCGTTGAATCTAAACCATACCTTCACACTGGGTTTAGGGCTTAGGGTTTAGGGGCTTAACACCAAATAACTTTGAGAGAACAGTTGGAACATGGATTCAGGATGATTAGTGATTAGTGCTGAGATTCCTTATTCTGTACCTTAAGGGCATAGGGATAATGAATGATGTTCCAACTTTCTGGCTTCTAGTTTAACTTTCTGAGGTTATTACAAAGAAATCAGAATAGGGAGTACAGAGAAGGCAGGTTTTATCGGCCCTGCGAACCGAAGAGTCCTGGAGTGGCATACCTTGACACTTTTCCGGGGTACATGCTACTTAAAGGAGCCATTATGCAATAACAGCTCACATCGTCTCGCTGGTTACTGGAACGCCCAATGAGATCAAACTTCAAGCGAGAAGACACGAGTCTCCAGGCAGCGCAGCGTTGAAGGACTCTGGTTTGGTTTGGGTTTAGGGTTTAGGGTTGATTTCAAGGATCTACAACTCTACAAGCGTTAGAATACAAGCTATAAGTTATAAGGCATCTGAGAGGGTCTAGGGTTTTTCAGCTTTCAATCGTCGGACTCCTCCGGGAAAAGCGGCTCAAATGGCTCGACGCTGCCAACAAGGAAATGCCCTTGGCAGGCCGCCCAGCTTGCACGACTGCTGAGATGGGAAATAGGGGCCTGAGTAGTTAGAATCGGATTTTGGGGCCCATTATACTACAATTATAATAAGGAACCACCAAAATAGTATAGGCAATAATAATGGCCCCTACAGTATACCGTCTGACCGTAGACGGAATGGGATTAAGATCTCGGATCTCAAAGAGGTCAGGCGCTCAGTTCAGTCTCCAGCCCTAGGTCCGAAGTCCATGTCAAGGAAAACGAAGTCTTCAAGCGAGGCTCGCGCCACGCTCAAGACCGTCGAAAACTCACAGACGAAAAACTGGGGGCTCATGGAGGATCCGTGGGCTCAGCAAGCTGCCAACTTGGGTTACAAGCACCTGACTTTGTTACGGCCAAAGTTGTGTGATCTGCTTCTTGGCTGTAGCTATCTCATTTTTGTCTCATTTGCCAAATCCCGTGATCCTCGAAGTATTTGGTGGACTGTGGGGTTCAGCATCGACCGTGCAAGCTGAGCTCATCCCGTGCTGTTGCCAATGACCGACTGCCAATGGCATCCGTTGTGAATGTCGAAAAGGACCCATCTCATGTTGGTTTCAGGTTTGGGGCTTGAGGGGTTTAGGGTGTAGGATGAAGGATTTTCAGTGCTGTGGAAGCCGTAGATGGTGTACTGGCGTGTCCATGTTCGATTTCCTGGTTTAGGCTTGCTTGGCTCGTTAGTCGCTTCAATACTTAGTGTGTTCGTTCCCATGTGCCCTGAACCCCGAGCTCAAAACACTCCACCCCACATAGCAAACCCACAACTTTTCCTTCTCGACCCCCAAACCCAGAACCCCAAACCCCAAACTCCTACACCGTGGCACTATCGACCTTGTTCTATATTCTACACAACCCTTAGACACCCTACATTCACCCTATATACGTGTTTTGATAATCTGAAACATCCTCAATCCCTAACCTAAACCCTGAGCGCTAAACTAAACCCTTGAACCCCCTAAACCCTAAGCTATTGCCTGCTGGACAGGCCTTTCCTTCGCCATCCACAGCGGTGAGGCCTTGAAGCTGATCGCTGTGAGGTCGTTGGGTCACTTTCTGTGTTGGGAGCCCCTTTTAGGGTGTTGGTGGGTTTAGGGATGTAAGGGCTGCTGTACCAGTCTTGGGGACCTACTACCTAAACCCTGATATGCAAAAGCAAAACCCAAGAGGCCTGTGCTCAAGAGGCCTGTGCTGTGGGGGCGAGTTTGGAGGACTAGTCTTCAAGCGTGTTGATTCCGCTATGTAAGTAAATGCTACATCCGGCTCCCTTAGAGTACTGAGCCAGACCTGTCTCAAATAACTTCCTGAACCCTGGCAATAACAACCCAAGCCCAAGGGTCAGACCGAAACCCTTACAACATGTCATAAACACACATCAGAGACCCTTAGACTCTTTAAAACCCTATACGACCATATACAACCCTATAAAAAGTGATAAAACCGCAAGATTCTACGCCACTAACAGAGAGGTGTTCGGCCTTTTGGGTCACAACGGCGCCGGGAAAACGTGCTGAGCTCAGACTCAAAAATTATCCAGTTGTTTCTCGGAAGGTTCTTCTATATCGAAAGTAATAGTGTGTGTATATATATATATATATATATATATATAAATTTCAGGGTTGAGTATAACATACAATGAAGGATGGAGGGATGCAGGGATGTACGTATGTATGTATGTATGTATGTATAAAGGTTATGTGTAAATGTGCAGTGAGGTCTAGAAAGATAAAGCCTTTTATTATACAAGAGTAATTTTCAAGAGCCTATATACCATAGTTTCGCGCGGTTTCTGTTTGAAGTCTTTCTGTTGATATCGTTGCAGTCTTAGGGATTTAAGATCTGAGTAGGGTGAAGGTCTGTGACGTCTGTATGTTTATGTTCTTTAGGAATGCTTCCTGCTGTGAAATGGGGTAAGGTTTCTGCAGCTGCTTTGTCGGGCTAGGTGAAGGCTCTCAAGCTTTTAAGAGTGCGGCATTGGCGGGCTTATGAGTGATTTCATGGTTTATGAGGTTAAGACAGTGCTTCTTAAAGCAGGGTTGTGGTTCAGCAACCGGCTGCGTATTCGAGCAGCGTGCTGCGAGCTGCATACCTCAACTCACCAAGCCAGAGTTTCGCTTTTAGCAGTAGTTTGAGTTCAGGGTGGAGGGTCCCCAAACCCTGAACCCTAAAACCTAAAAGGAATCCCTCAACTCTAAACTAAACCAACCTAGAGTATCTTTGCGCTCGCCGCCTGCATCCCGTTTCCTGCAGCTCAGATTCTTCGTGGTTAACACCTGGACCTGGGTGTTGGAAGCAGTTCTGGCTGAAAAAATCCCAAACTCAATCCTAAACCCTAAACGCGGTTTAGGGATTAGGGTGCATGAAGTCTTTAGACCGCTTAAAATCCCGGTATAGGGTTTAGGGTTCATGAAGGTCTACAGACCCTATAAGGCCCTAAACTCCAAACTCGTTTGACAGGTCTGCAATCAAATGCTTCGTCGGTCGGAGGGCCTGGTTGCTACATGAGCTCTTGGTAGCGTTTGCGGTGTACCGAGCTATAGTCTCTGTTGCAGCTTCTTCATCCCTAAACCCTGAACCTTAACCCTAAATTATACTAAACATTCAACCCTAAACCTAAACCCTATAGTCTTTCACGGTTTCCAAAATGAAGGTGACCCCAGACAAGGATTTCCAAGGGAGACTATAGGTATCTTAACCTACCAAATCCTACTTTTGCTAGGGCCAGGATAGATGCCCTATTCGGGTTAGGGTTTAGGGTTTAGGGCGTAGAATAGGAACCTACAGAGAAGTAGTTTATGGCAGTGTTTAGACGTGGGGCCTTGATGGATGTCTTTCCGCGAGCTATTACGGGGTTTATAAGCAGAGCCTTATAGCTAGGAAGCTACAGGTTTTGTGTACGTGCTCCAGAGTTCCTGCAAGTTTGGCCGTTCTTATGATTTTGCGGGAGTAAGATGGGTCCGGAGGTGCTTCGGGGGCATCGAGTTTGAAGTTCGTTCTGCGGTCTGGGTTTTACATTTACGATCGTAATTCCACGTATTGGATGGCCTGCAGTTACACGCAGTTTGCAGCCAGGATTCCGCAGGAAGGCATTGCCAGTTGACGCTGCCGTCCCATTAGGAATAACCCGCACAGCCTGTGCCTTTCCGAAGCGGCGGCATGAAAGATGCATAGCATAGGGTTTCGGGGATTCCTTATGATGATAATAGTATAAAATTAGAGTATAGTATCCCCCCAAAAAAGGTGATTCGAAGACTTCGCGGAAGCTGTCGAAACAAGTAATGCGATGATTTTATGACGACTCCATATAGGGGCCCTAGTGCTTAGAATAGGGTTTGGGGGTATATATTATGCTACCTAGACCTGCCAAACCCTCCTCTTTTGTAGGTTCTTATTACTATAAACCCTAAATGGGATTTATGGGGACCCTACAAAAAAGTAGCTTCTGGTAGCTTATAAGTTATAGTTCTAGTTCAGGGTTCTGATTCTCGGGCAGGGTCTTTTCAAGGGTTGCGGGTCGCCAGCCTCTGGGGGTTTGTAATATAGGGGCTTCAATGGGTTAATGTAGGGGCCTTAATAATTAGAATAGGGTTTTGGGGCCCATTATACTATAATTATATTAAGGAACCCCCACCATAATATTGGTAATTATTTAGGCTCCTACATTACCAATACTATTTTGGTTTTGTTTTTTGGAGGTGGGTTCCTTATTATTTACAAGTATGGTATAATGGGCCCCAAGACCCGGGTCTAATGATTAAGGCCCCTACATTATTCGGTTTAAGGTTTAGGGATTAGTAGTATCTCAGGACCCATAGTATTGTTAATGTCGCCTTGGTCCAAAGACAGTAGTCAATATGGCGCATCTTTGGGTGGTTTTGAACAGCAGGTACATCCTCAAACGATCGGCCCTATCCGATACTCTAAAAACCAACATATGTAGCCCTAGCACCCTGTACCCCCATACTCTAAGCCCTGCGCCCGGCGGGGGCTGAACCGATTGTGTAGAAGCGTCTGCCGCTGCATGCGCCGTCTAAGGCGAGCAGTGCATTACTGCCGGGACAGTCCACGTCGGCGGATGCGACATGGACAGATGGGGGCTTACTAAAACCCCCAAACCCAGTAGTTTTATTTTGGGGTTCATATATAGAATCCCATAAGGTAATCCCAAAAAGGAACTACTGTGGGCCTCTGGGTAGAACCACGAATGTTGAGGAGTAGACCTGGGACACCTAGAGCACTCAATCCTGAACCCCAACGTAAACCCGAGAGGTCAGGCCTCATGAACCCCGAACTTCCAAACAAGGAAACCTTCTGAAGCCCTCCGACCCCCCCAGAGGCTGGGGAGAATAATGGCGAATCCTACAAGCCTGGATAGTTACCAACACTGTTCCTTACTGTACCCCAAGACCCTATTGTAAATTTTAAGGGCTACTGGATCCATGTAATTTTGGCTTCGCTGTACCTATACCGGGGACCCCTTACTGGCCAATGTTACGATATTAGCCCTGATCCGAAACTGTCTGACCTTGTTTAGGGCAGCCGTTTTTGCTGGGATCCTGTAATGCCAACAAAGCTTTCTTGCTCGGAGGATCATGGGACTTAGGGTTATAAGTACCTTAATTGGGGCTATATGTAATTATAAGTGCAGCTACCTTAATTATAACCCTAGTTACTAAGTCCCATGATCTTTTAAGTCGGGGGACCTGGTAGACTTGTAAGCCGCAAATCACAAAGCTCTAAACTCATAAGGGGGATTGGGGTCTGAAGGTAGGGGGTTGCCAGGGTGATTAAAGCCCTAAACCCTTATATACACCCCATCAGAGCGCTCGGGCTCGTTGGGTGTGTGTGACGGGAGGGTTTCCATGGCTTGTCATGTCGCCCCTGAACCCCTATACAGCCATCCGCTCCTGCCAGAGTGGGCTCAGAAAAGCTTGTTTTCTGAAAGTCCCGACGGGTCCCTTGGAAGCTTCGGAGCCCAATGGATTCTGACTCAAATTCGGAGGCTCGCCCGTTTCTAGCAACTTTGAGTCTAGAGTTGTTTGGGGTTTAGGGGTTTGGGGGATTAGCGCGGTTAAGGGGTTTAGGATTCAGGGGTGCCCGAGCTCGGAGTCTTTTTCGGATCTTGGCCTGAAAGGGTCTTCTGTCTACTAAACCCTACCCGAAACCCCAGACTTTGGGGGCCTGAATCTGAGGAACTAGGACATATTCTACTCAACCCTACCCTAAACCCTAGTCAGGGAATTATTAGGAACATTATTGACTAGGGTTCCTTATGATAAATATCGCACCTTCATCCCCAAACTGCGCTTGACGGCCAGTCGCCAGTCCCAGAGACAAGGAGATTTCGACCTAGGCGTAGGCTCTACTATAGGGGCCTAAATCATTACGAATACTATTCCGTAAGGGTCCATGTATCCATATAGAGATACCTGAGCCCCAAAGTACCTATATAGGGACTACATTAAGGCCAGTGTATATGCTATATGAGTATATACATGGACCCTTAGGACCCCCAAACCCTGTTCTGTTTATTAAGGCCCCTATATTCGGGACTCTAGGGTTAGGGAAAGGTCTAGTTACACTGCTGTAATTTCTTGCTCTAGTTGTTTAGTGGGTTGCACATAGTGGTGTGGGGTCGGTTGTCAGAATAGGATTGCAGCCTCTGTTCTATGGCCAAAGTTCAACCAGCTGCGGGTTTTATGAATATGGACGTGGGTTAGAACTCTAAAGCAACGCTTTAAAAAAAACGCGCAAAAGGTATCTAGGATTAAAGATCTGGACCCAAACCAACAGACAGTAGTGCATGAAACCAAACCCTTGATTCCAACAAACTTCACTCCAGGACCGGGAGCTGTGCAACCATTCGTTTAGGGTCTGAACAAAAAGAGAAACCGTGTCCCTTTTTGGGCCCTTTGAAATACAAACTCCTGACCTCACTGCGCAAGCTCCTACATGAAACCCCTAAGCCCAGAAGCCTAAACCCCCCAAACACGGAAACAAAAACCCTGAACCGTCTAGACAAGCCTAAACCTCTACACCCTGCAGCCCTAAGCCCCCCAAAACACACCAACACTGAAACCCCTAAACCGGCCCCACAGAGTCTCAAACTTCCGAAAAACCCCCAACCCTAAGTCCTAAACCCGAAGCCCCAAAACCTAAATACCCGAAACGACGGTCCGTTCTTCCTGCATTGCTTGCGCAGATGTCCGAGGGATCGGTTGGAGAGTTCCTCGGACAGAAACAGCGCTTTTCCGGGCCCTTAGGGTCTAGGGTTCCTTTAAAGGGACCCATAAGGGTTCTATAAGGGATCTATAGCGTTTAGGATCATGGCTTACTGTGGAGGAGAAGGGTGTCTATAATTACTGTAGCGATGATGGTGTCTATAAGGGGTGCTATGACTGCTTTCTAGTCTCAGGGTTTTAGGATTTCGGGTTCAGTAAGTTGGCCTTGGGGTTTTCTGCTTAGGGTTGGGGTTTTGGGCCTAGGCATTTGGGGTGCAGGATTTTGAGTTTCGGGTCGTGTCGTGCGATATATTTCTCAGGGGCCGGGGGTTTGTTCAGAACTTTCAGGACTTCTAGTTTGGGTCCCAGGGATGTCGGGCGGATTCGTGTAGCGAAGTTGAGTATTGCTTTCAGGTGTTGTGCGGGCTTCGATTCCTGTGGGTTCAGTTCAAGGGTTTTCAGGTGGCGATGATATATCTTATGGGTGCTTTCGGGGTCTCGAGGCCACATCTTCACAGTTTCGGGTTTGGGTTGGAGTTTCCCGCTTGCCTTAGGCTTTTGAGACTTTGGGACTACCCAGAGGCTCGATAGTTCCTTTTTGGGGTTCATATAGAGACTCCCATAAGGTAATCCCAAAAAGGAGCTACTATGGAGCCTCTGGGTATCGCCAACCTTGATCTGCCAAGACTACCTAAAGGATCATGGGACTTAGTAACTAGGGTTATAAGTAGGGTAACTATACTTATAATTAGTTATAAAGGTACTGATGACCTTACTTTCTAAGTCCCATGATCCTCCAAGTACCATTGTAGCTGGGGCTTAGGGGTTCAAGGGTTCGGTCTAGGGGTTAGAGTTGAGGGCTTAGGGTTTAGGGTTCAGGCAGCAACTAAGGGTGCCTAGCCTACGGAATGCGGACATGGCTCAAATATCCCTTGTAGTTCGGTGCAGACTCCGAACATCCCCAAGCCTTAGAAAGAAGAGAGACTGCAATTTCTCCTTACTCTGCTTGTACACTCAGACGATAATGCAGCCCTTCATGCCCTAATCTGATTCCCAAGGCCCCTGTCTTCAACCCCATAAAGACCCCTATCCCTCCAAGGACCTCATAGTTAGGGCCCTAGACCCCTTAAGGACACCATAATAAGGTCCCTGGAGGCATAGGTGACTATGAGACCCTTCAAGACTCTGCTAGGATTCTCAAAGCTCCTAGCTCAGACATCAGGTCCGAAACCCCAAGCCCTGAGCCCTCCCTAAACCCTACCTGGACCCTAAGGAACCTACCTTTTTTAGGGTTCCCTAATATGATTTCTTTATATAAGTCTTTAAAAAGGTAGGTTACGTGGGGTTAAGGTAAACCCAAACCCTTAAACCCTAAACCCTATAATACCTAAAACATCGTGAACCCTAAGCCCGAGAATCCTGCTACCAGTCTGAAGGTCGAACTCCCCAAGAAAACCCACCCACCAGAGAAAATCGGGCTCTAGGATGTAGGTTGGGGGCTTTAAGGCTTTTTTGGAGTTGAGGGTTGGGGGCTTAGGGATCTTGTCAGATTGAGGCACTTTGGGGTAAGCTAAGGCATCTTGAAGACGCCAACCGACGCGGACGCGAACCTTGCGCAAAGGCGCTGTGAGGTTTGGGGTTTAAGGTTCAAGGTTGGGGAGGGCGGGTGATAGTGCCGGGGCTTGCAACAAGCTCGAAAGCTCGCTGGAATATGGACCAGGGATCTGAATTCTCCAGGTCCTTTAGTCTATGCTTGGCCTTAAAGGGGTGTCACTGGAACCAGGCTCTGTCTTTTCTCGGCCTACATTTACATGGAAGTGGCGTTGTTGGGTGTTGGAATTCCACATCTCTTCCCGGATTCTATGCTTCTGCTCCCTGATCTACGAATGCACTGTAGACTGCAGGCTGCTATTGGGGCCGCTGTATGGTAGTCAATAACACGAACATCCACTCAATATATTCGGAAGACCACACAAATCCTGCATGAACCTGCACGCAACCATTTTACGAAGTGCTGAACAAGACTCTGCGGAGCGACATAAAGCAATGTAGAGCACATTAAAAATCATCCTTAAATATCGACCCACTCAAAGATCTGCAAACCTAAAGAGCCATCAACGAAACCCTTCTGGAAACCCATGATGTCCCTGAGCGTAGAATGCTACAGTTTGTATCTATATCACTAGACCTAGGTCTATTTATCTATATCTCTGACTCTATCTAAATCTATGTCTATAGCTCTGTATAAATCTATAGCTATAGGGATATACATATATGTGTGCGTGCGCAGCAGGAATCCTGGCATGAACAGCCTTTAAAGCGAGGGGGGTTATTGACCACGGCTCTTCATTTCGTAAAGCCCTCTCAAGCCTTTCTCAACACCTACAAAATCCTGCTAGGACTCTCACAGATCCCTTGTGATAACCCTTGCAGGGCATGCCTGGCATCTTCAAGGAGCCCTAAACCCTAAACTACCCCAAAGCCTATGTCGTCGCTTCTCTCAGCTCATCGCTTCGTCTTGGGTGATTCGAATGGCCTGGGCCTTGTGGGACTGGCTGAGATGGGCCCAAGGTGGTGCTGCGTTTGTTAAAGGCGTTCTAGCTGCTAGCTTAAGCTTGGGGTTTATGTAGGGTTTCATTCATTTGGTCTAGAAAAGCATGAAGGTCTCATTTTCGATAAACATGTCTCTAGCTTTTGTTACTGATGGGGGGTTCAAAAGCGGACTGTACAGGGTCTAGGATCGGTGGGATGAGCTTTTGTTTGGGCTTGACGAGCATTCTTTGGCTTCGTGGGATGTTATGCCGATTCCAATTATGGATAGACAATCCATGTGTGCAAGGGTTTGTGTTCCAGGCGTTGATTTCGCAGTGCTTGCTGCGCTTTTAGTGGGCCACAGGTTTTTGGTGTGTCGGCCGCGCTAAGATAGCATAACCTAGGCAGGCACATGACGCGAACCCAAATTCCTCGACTCTCCGTTCCGAGGCTTAATCACTAAACTCACTAAACCCAACTAAACGGCAAAATAAGAGCCTTGCATAATAGGGACCCTTGAAATTAGTGCCCTTCAATCCTAGACCCTCAGCCCAAAACCCCAAACCCTCAAGCCGAAAGCCCTGAATCCCAATCCCTTAAAAAAGACCGTAAAGGATCCGGTTAACGACACCCTAGTCGCATACATGAGGCCCCTACAAAAACCAGATATCCCAATACTCCTTAATCAAGGAATACGGCTTAAATCATACATGAGGCCCCTTGTAATTTGAGGTGGGTTCCTTAACATCAACATACGAAGCCCCTTTTAATTCAAGGTACGTTCCTTACTTTCATAAGATAAATCCCCTTATAATTCAAGGTATATTCCTTGGGTTACGGGTATCTGGGGTCTCCAAGAAGCCCCAAAACCCTAAACCCTTTTCCGAGGCTTTGTCGCGCATTGAAAGTGAAGACCTCGAACCCTGGGAGGTCCTTCTGCCTGCCGAGGCCCTTTTAAGGCTTACTAGGGGTTTAGAGTTTAGGGGATTTAGGGGCTCTTTTGGGGTTTCCTGCTGAGGCCCCTGAGGGCTCTTTTAAGCTACTAGGCCCTTGAGGGCTCTTAAGGGTTTACCAGGGGTGTAGGGCTCTTTTAAGGGTTACTGGGGGTTCAGGGCTCTTTTAAGGATTACTAGGGGTTCAGGGTTCTTTTACGGGTTACCAGGGGTTTACTACAGCTCTTGTAAGTTTAATGCGGGCTCTTTTGAGGGTTACTAGGGGTTCAGGGTTCTTTTAAGGGTTACCAGGGGTTTGAGCTCTTTTAAGGGTAATTAGGGGTTTAATTAGGGCTCTTTTGAGGGTTAGTAGGGGTTTAGGGTTAGTAGGGGTTTAGGGCTCTTTTAAGGGTTAGTAGGGGTTTAGGGCTCTTTAAAGGGTTACTAGGGGTTCAGGGTTCTTTTGGGCGCATGGCTTAAGGCTTTGGACTTTGGATTCACGGGCTTTGGGGTTTAGGATCTAGGGCCTAGGGTGGATTGTATGGCTGTAGTTCAGGGCACAAGTTTTTGTTGGCTTCAGGAGTTGTGTCGGGTTTTGCACTGGCTGCAAAAGCTGGGTTGGGGTCCAAGCGGTTGTATACTGTCCGGTTTTAGAGGGCTGCCCAGCTGAGGTTCAGGGCTAAGACTTATGTCGCTCTTCCTTCTGAGAGATTGTTAGCCTAATCACCATGCCCGACTGCCATACCCAGAGATCCCCACTCTAATTCTTGCGGCCCTTGTACAAACATCTCATACATAACCCTAGAAAGCCATGATTAAGGCCCCTGCGAGATCGCGGTTCTTTGTGTTCTTTGTATGTGTATGTATACATGCGTGTGTTTGGTGGGCATTTTGGGCCTTGCGGGTTAAGGGTGGCTGAGGAATCCATCTTTCGAGACTCTGATGACACCCAAATCTTGTGTTGAAAACGTACGAACATGGTCTATATGTGCCCGCGCTCCGCGTTCTCGACCCCCCCCCCCCCCCCCCCCAATGGTATCCCCCCCCCCCCGACCCGGGCGACCACACAACAAGAACAAGAACAAGAACAAGAAGAAGAACAGCAGCAACAACAAAGCAGCAGCAACCACGCGGAGGAACCACAGGAACCACAGGGGGGGAGGGGGGAGACAGGAACCAGAAGAACCACAAAAGGGAGGGGGAAAACCAAGAGGAACCACAGGGGGGGGGGGGAACCACAGGAACCACAGGGGGGGGGAGGGGGATTACCATGGGGGGGGTGAAACCATAAACCTCTAAAGGGGTAGCTCTAACAGGTACCTACAGCAATGGCTGCATGCTCATACATATACATTCCGCTGCCCATTGGCTCACAGTGGTTTTACCATATTGAGACAAGACAAGCTCTCCTTGCGTAGCAAGACAAAACAACTACTGTCCGTGTGCAGGGCGCTGCCCTTTGATCCTTAGGGAATAACTGGTCATACACCTCCTAACAAGGAGTATTCCTTGTGGGTGTATCGGCACAGTTTTCTGGTAGCGGAGCCCGGAAAGGGCCGCCCGCCTCACAAAGTCCGCTACAGCGGTCGGCCTCGCCGAACGCTTAACCAAGCGGATAAGAGGCAGCACAATGTCGAGCTCGCATAGCGAAGCCGACGGCAGTTCCCAATCCTCCGGGGGATATGAGAACGAAGAGACCTCCCAAGGTCCAGCCACTTATGTCGCACAGTCATATGCAACATCTGACCGCATGCTTGCATCATTAGGCATAACGCCCAAGATCGCGCCTGCCTATGATGGCACCACTTCGTGGTTTGAGTATGAACAGTTGATTGACGACTGGTGCGACATAACAACGCTGGATGACACCAAAAGAGGTCCGTCTCTCAAGACGAGGCTCTCCGGATTGGCCGCAGTACAAAAAGAATCACTTAACCGAGAAAGGCTTGCAGCCCCAGATGGAGTAGATTACTTCAAGAAGAAGATGCGTCCATTTTTCGTGAAAGGAGAACAGTACGTTTTCCTGTGGCGTTTCCTCGGCCTATTCAAGGCATGGAAGGGCAACCAAGACTTTGTGACTTGGATTGCTAAGTTTGAGATCGTGCTACAGCGCGTGAAAAACTCATGGATGGATCTCTTACCAGAGATAGCTCTGGAAGATGCCCATCCAGATTTCATGCAAGCTGTGCAGGCAGACCGAACCTTCCTGGGCCTACAGGAAGCAGCCGAGAGAGACACATACGCCGCACGCTATTTCGAAACATGGAACAAGGAACGCCTTGACAATCATCGAAGAGCGTTTCCTCTGAATGATAATCTCCTAGCTCTTCTCTTCCTAGTGCAGTCCGACCTAAATGAGATGCAACGTGAGAGGTTGGTAACAGCATTGACCAACCAAGGTCACCGAATTGAGACCTATACGTACCCTGTGGTACGGCAGACCATGTTCGATCAGTTCTCAACGACCAGAACTGGTCTGCAGGATCCCAACATTCGGCACTCTTCTCACAAGAAGGACCGCCATGGAAGGAGAGACCAACGCCGCAAACGCGGAGGTCGAAACTTCCTCATCCTCGATCAGGGTGAATACGACGGAGTCGATGGATTCTGGCTCCAAGACGAAGACACCCTTGAGGAAGGCTTTCTTGCCGCCGAGGATGAAGAAGCTGTCTTCTGGACAGTTGACGACCATGAAGCCTTCGTTGCAAGGAGATTCAAAAAGGGAAGAAGACCAAGAATGCGTCCCGGATCACCGGGAAGAGCAAAGGGTGGCAAGCGAAAAGGACGTGGCCGTTTTAGGTCATACCGCGGAAAAGGGAGAGCCAACCAGGCAGAACATGATCCAACTGATTCCAGCTATTTCGGTAAAGGTAAAGGAAAGGAAAAAGGAAAAGGTGGAAAAGGCAAAGGAAAAGGAAAGGACAAAGGAGATAAAGGAAGCTCCTTCAAGGGCTCAAAAGCAAAAGGCAAAGGTAAGGATACAGCTAAGTCTGCCTCCTTACAAGGAGACCAAACTGGATCTCCACAGGCCTATGAAAGTTCCACCGCACCGAGCTGGGATTCATGGTATGAGGACAGTTATTATACTGACTCCAGTTGGAATTATGCCGCTTATGACGATCAAACGTCTTATACATACTATGCATCACAAGCCTCACGAAGAAAAACACGGAGAAAGAAGAGAAGAAATCAAGCAGGATCATCAGGTAGAGGCACAGATCCGAGCGCGCACCAAGAACCCGTGTTCAACTCATCAGTGAGTTACGTGCCCCAGGTCTCTGAACCATCCGAGGGGCAAGGTGTGGAGACTGCAACAGCAGTGTTTCCGTTGCAGCACACCGTCCTATCTGCTCTCACAGAGCGGATCAATCTTGATAAGAGCCCTACCTTTGTCATACTTGACTCTGGTTGTACTAGGGCTATGGGTTCCCGCTATGCGGTGAACAGGCTTATCAAGGCCGTGAAGCAACATGCCCCAGGCATGATTGATTTCACTTTTTCACCTTCGAACACGAAGTTCTCTTTCGCAGATAGTGAAACAGCTCTTATCAAGGAGCGTGTAACTCTATGGTTCAACACAACTCCAAGAAGAGATACAACCATAGAAGTTTTGGATCAGGGGAGAGTCCCCATTTTGTTTTCCATCGAACAGATGAGGAATTTAAGAATGACCCTCGAGTGTAGTCCCACAGCTGACCTAGCAACGTGTGAAGCTTTCGGTTTGTATAAAACCCCTCTTCCGATTAGTACCAATAACCATTTGGTATTGGACCTTCTAGGCTTCACTTCCACCAGGAAGTATCTCCCTAAGTCAGGTACGTCGTTCAGTGCGACGGAGACTGCTCTAGGAGCCAAGAAGCCTTATACTAGGATACCGGAAGGTCGCTGTCCAGCCTGTGCCGGACAGAAAAGGGCTCACACGTACCTCAAGGGTTGCGACAAAGCACCTGAGGGAGCAGCTGATCCACCACCGAAGAGGATTTCAGGTAAAAAGAAGCCTCTTCCATCTGATCCGGCAGAATCATCTGCCAAGAAACTTGATCCACCAGAACCATCTGGTGATGCTCCTGAGCCTTCCGGACCATCGGAACCATCATCAGGCTCTAGGGACAAACCTGCAGAATCCTCTGCACCACATGAACCTCCAGAAGAAGAAAGACTTGAGGTCCCACCTGCGAAGATAAAGACTCCAAAGGGTCTTAAAAACCTTCTGAAGAAATCCCGCAAATATGCGGTTAAACCTCCTGTTGAAGAGAAGTCTAAGGTCCCAGGAGCTGATGACGGGACGGAGGTAAGACCACTTGAGTCAAGAGAATACCCGGCTCCTGGTACAGACTCACCTACAGGTGAAGAGATTGTCGCGGAACCATCGCCATCTCTTCCCATTGCTCTTCGCAGGATTCATGAGAAGCTTAAGGACCCTGTAGAACTCTATAAGCTTCACCTTAAGCACCGTCATATGAGTACGGATCAGTTCAAGCGACGCACAAAAGCCTTACAGATCCCAAAGGAGATATACGAGCTATATGACCAACTGGTCAAAAAGTGTTCAGCCTGCCAGGAACATGTGAGAGCTCCTTCAAGAGCGAAGATTTCTGGTTTAAGATCAGAGACTTTCGGTGATCTCACCTTCGTAGATCACGGTGAGCTTCCAATTCCCGGCAAGGATAGTCGCTTAGTATTTCTTATTCTCTATGATGGAGCAACAAACTTGTTGACTGCCGAAGTAGTCCAGGATAAAGAAGAACATACTACAATGTCGATTATGAATGACTACTTTGAGAAATTTCAGATCAACCCAAAGGTTGTAGTTGGAGATCAAGCATTCATGACTCCAAAAATGGAGGCTTATTACAATCGGCAGAATATCAAGCCTGTGGCAACAGGACCTGGAACACCATGGCCCAACAGGGCCGAAGCTGCTGTAAGATTGCTGAAGCATCAGATTAAGCTCATACTTCAGATCCTGAAGGATGGTGACCCGCAGTATAACGGAATCACCATGAAGTATGGCAA